TGTGACTCCTGTGAGGCGAGATGGCGAGACTTGGCGGCTAAGTAGTAACCGTCGGTAGTGAGTAGCAGCGAGGTTCTTCTCCGGCGAGTTGTGGGTACGGCAGCGAGCATACGAGGCAGTAACTCCTTCCGGCGACGGACCAGTAAGGCAGATCTGGGGGTGCAGCAACAGATCCGGCAAGGTTGGGGCCTTCGCCGGTGGTTTTTGGTTCCGGCGAAGCAGAGAGGGCAGCAGGTCGGCGAACCCTCCTATGGTAAATAGTAGTTGTAGATGGTGTGATGTAGAATTTGCACCTGTAAGTCCTCCCTTCCATATTGACCACAAATATCCTTTCCATCTCTCTCTCTCTCTCTGACCACAACTACTTGGTGCACAACCTCAAAAACTCTGTTATTCTACCTGAAATTCATTGAAGTTTCAAGCTGAAAATGTGGAATCCGCCGCTCCCCAAAAATCGCATTGTCTGAGGTGTTGGAATGGCCGGTGTTGACTTCCTGGCTGCTGTAGCTTCATTCCCCAACCCGGATGATAAAATTCGGAGCACCAGCTTTGAGGTTCAAGGAGGTGGTAACACTGGCAATACTTTGATAAAACCCGGATGATAAAATTCGTCTTGGTCTTAATCCAAGGATCATATCTAAGGTTGCTGATGACTCGCATGGCGAAAGAATACTTGATGAGCTTGAAAGGGATGGTGTTGATACATCTTTTATGGTGGTGTCCAAAGGAGGAAACTCACCATTCAAATATGTCATTGTTGACAACCAAAAAAAAAAAAAAAAAAAAAAAAAAAAAAAAACTCACACGTCCATTTTCACTCCAGGATATCCACCCATGATATCTGAGGGTCTACATACCCAAATCAAAATTGTCTTCAGCGCTTGGAGTAAATATTGTCTACTTAGATGGGTGGCTGCATGAGACTGCTTTGATTGTAGTGCAGGAGGCAAAGAGTAGGGGCATACCTGTTATAGTTGATGCAGAAAGGTTAAGGGAGGGGTTGGGTGATATTCCTGACTTTGCTAGTTATGTTGTATGCTCGACAAAATTTCCACAGGCATGGACTAACGCCCTTTCTTTTCCAACTGCACTTGTTTCCATTATTTTGAGATTGATGTCAAATGTAAAATTTGTGATTGTTAGTTGGGTGAAGAAGGTTTCTTAATGTTAGAAAGGATTGAAGCGGATAACCTCAGTTTGAAGAAATGGATGTAGCAGTGACCAATGGATGGAGAAATACAAGGATTAGAACATAAAAAGACAGAAAACCCCTTCTAATTCACGGTCAACAAACGGCGTCATTGACGGAGGATCAAAACTGTCCAACGATCAAAAACAGTGGCTACTAAGTGGCAATTTTTATTATGGAGGATGAAAAGTGTCAATGCCCCAATAAGTCTAGGACCAAAAATGGCATTAACTCTTGTATTCCGTGAGTCACAATAATAATATAACAATAATTAAATATTGTTCAATTCTATATTCTTCTAGGATTTCTATTACCATCATTAATTATTTCCAAATTTACCATAATTAAATAATTTGACCAATTATAAAGAAAGATTATTAAATAATGCACGGGACAATTGTTTAATTAAAATTTTTTAATAAAGTATTTTTTATAGAAATTGGTGGGCCAAACCGCCTACGACAGTTTGCGGTGGATAGATCTCAAAAAAATACGCGATTTCAAAAAAACATTTGTCCAAAACGGACAACGGAGTAAAAAGTTATGCCTTGTCGAAATTTTGACACTTTACAACTTAAAAAAATATATAAAAAATTAAAGGCCGGTTTAGCCGGCAAGGTGGCCCGCTAAGGAGGCCGATTTCAGGATTTTGTTTTTATATATAGTATAGATTATATTACACTATTTTATAATATTAGGATAGATTTTTAACGCAGAATTATTGTACGAATGAGAAAGTAGAAATCAATATATTTTATTAGGAAGAGAGATTTTTTAGGAATTGGGCGGGAAGTTAAAATTTCAGGATTTTGTTTTTATATATAGTATAGATTGTATTACACTATTTTATAATATTAGAATAGAATTTTAACGCATAATTATTGTACGAATGAGAAAGTAGAAATCAATATATTTTATTAGGAAGAGAGATTTTTTAGGAATTCGGCGGGAAGTTAAAATTTCAGGATTTTGTTATTATATATAGTAATAGATTGTATTACACTATTTTATAATATTAGAATAGAATTTTAACGCATAATTATTGTACGAATGGGAAAGTAGAAATCAATATATTTTATTAGGAAGATAGATTTTTTAGGAATTGGGCGGAAAGTTAAAATTTCAGGATTTTGTTATTATATATAGTAATAGATTGTATTACACTATTTTATAATATTAGAATAGAATTTTAACGCAGAATTATTGTACGAATAGCAAAGTAGAAATCAATATATTTTATTAGGAAGAGAGATTTTTTAGGAATTGGACGGGAAGTTAAAATTTCAGGATTTTGTTTTTATATATAGTATAGATTGTATTACACTATTTTATAATATTAGAATAGAATTTTAACGCAGAATTATTGTACGAATAGGAAAGTAGAAATCAATATATTTTATTAGGAAGAGAGATTTTTTAGGAATTGGGCGGGAAGTTAAAATTTCAGGATTTTGTTTTTATATATAGAATAGATTGTATTACACTATTTTATAATATTAGAATAGAATTTTAACGCAGAATTATTGTACGAATAGGAAAGTAGAAATCAATATATTTTATTAGGAAGAGAGATTTTTTAGGAATTGGGCGGGAAGTTAAAATTTCAGGATTTTGTTTATATATATAGAATAGATTGTATTACACTATTTTATAATATTAGAATAGAATTTTGACGCAGAATTATTGTACGAATGGGAAAGTAGAAATCAATGTATTTTATTAGGAAGAGAGATTTTTTAGGAATGGGGCGGGAAGTTAAAATTTCAGGATTTTGTTTTTATATATAGTATTAGATTGTATTAAACTATTTTATAATATTAGAAAAGAATTTTAACGCAGAATTATTGTACGAATGGGAAAGTAGAAATCACTATATTTTATTTGGAAGAGAGATTTTTTAGGAATTGGGCGGGAAGTTAAAATTTCAGGATTTTGTATTTATATATAGTATAGATTGTATTACACTATTTTATAATATTAGAATAGAATTTTAACGCAAAATTATTGTACGAATGGCAAAGTAGAAATCAATATATTTTATAGGAAGAGAGATTTTTTAGGAATGGAGCGGAAAGTTAAAATTTCAGGATTTTGTTTGTATATATAGTATATAGATTGTATTACACTATTTTATAATATTAGAATAGAATTTTAACGCAGAATTATTGTACGAATGTGAAAGTAGAAATCAATATATTTTATTAGGAAGAGAGATTTTTTAGGAATTGGGCGGGAAGTTAAAATTTCAGGATTTTGTTTTTATATATAGTATAGATTGTATTACACTATTTTGTAATATTAGAATAGAATTTTGACGCAGAATTATTGTACGAATGTGAAAGTAGAAATCAATATATTTTATTATGAAGAGAGATATTTTAGGAATTGGGCCGGAAGTTAAAATTTCAGGATTTTATATTTATATATAGTATAGATTGTATTACACTATTTTATAATATTAGAATAGAATTTTAACGCAGAATTATTGTACGAATGGGAAAGTAGAAATCAATATATTTTATAGGAAGAGAGATTTTTTAGGAATTGGGGGGAAGTTAAAATTTCAGGATTTTGTTTTTATATATAGTATAGAAGTATAGATTGTATTACACTATTTTATTATATTAGAATAGAATTTTAACGCAGAATTATTGTACGAATGTGAAAGTAGAAATCAATATATTTTATTAGGAAGAGAGATTTTTTAGGAATTGGACGGGAAGTTAAAATTTCATGATTTTATTTTTATATATAGTATAGGTATATATATATATATATATATATATATATATATATATATATATATATATATATATATATATATATATATATATATATATATATCATGACTTCAAACGATTTGCTTTAACCATGTTAATAGTCTCGCATTATTGGTTGAGAGAGAATCGAAGTAGATTTACCAATAAATCACGAAATGCTATGGTTCTTACAGTGAATTTCTTAATTGATTCAGAAGTAATTCGCGAGATCATGCACCCCTCTCTCCTAGTTCTAAGGAAAACTAAAGGATACAGCTGGTTGGTCCAGCCTATTCTTGAAATAAACAACTCGCACATACTTCCTTTCCAAAAAAGATCAATACACCAAGCACTACACTTAGATTTATTGGATTTGTTGCAAAAATATCGGTATTAAACCCGAAACTCCCAGCAGACGTTTAGGGGCCCAAAGAAAGGAAAGAATCGGTTACGTTTTTCATATGCTCTCCTCTTATAGATCGACTAAAAAACCGAACAGAGTTATTTTTGTATCACTTCACCTCGCTTTTTATTTACTCTCTTTTTTTTTTTTCTTTTTCTGAAATCGAGTCAAAAAATTATATATATATATATATATATATATATATATATATATATATATATATATATATATATATATATATATATATATATGAATAAAGTTCAAATGCGGCGGGGTCTTCCCGTGCGGCGGTGCGGCGAAATTCCAGAATACACCAACAGTGTTAACAATATGCACCAACAGTGTATGAAAAACACACCACAATGAAATGCAATAAAACATCACAAAATACACAATAGACCCAAAAAAATTACACCATATAACTCACCACTCCAATGGGGTATTTCCCAACACTGTATGGTGTTTTTACTCACACCTAATGGTGTGTGTTTGGTGATGGGTACCTAATTTTCCTCTATTTTTTTGTTGTGTATTTTCCTAACGTTAATAGTGTATATTTGTTGAACTATTGGTGATGCCGCACCGCCGCACCTGAACTCGCATATATATATGTACTCGCCACTCCTAAACCACCATACTCGATCAACACTTTGACTAATATAGAACACAGAGAGAGTGAGAGAGAGATGGAATTTGCATCGGCGGCAAGTGAAAAGCATGAGATAGTGATAATCGGCGGTGGCATTTGTGGACTTGCCACAGCCCTTGCTCCTCACAGGTACCATTACAACCTACCTATATATATATATATATATATATATATATATATATATATATATATATATATATATATATATATATATATATATTTGTATTATTAAAGACCCTTCCTCCGCCCCCAACAATTCTCGCTCCTAACACTTGTCAATTGTTTTTATCTTATTCGGACTCAAATCCGTGATCTGGATTTGGTACTACTTGTCAGGTCAAATGTTTAATTATCATTTTGTCAAAAGTTATAGTTTATAGTGAAGGTGCGATTTTATTTCATTATACTGCTACACATTTTTTAGAACCAAGGTGCTGGACTTACTCTTTACTGGCCTCCAAACCCAACAATCCACTTAGCCACATATATGGTGTTGGACTTGGCCCTTACCACCCTCCGCCCAACAATCCATCTCCAACACTAGCCAGTCTAAACTACTCTTACTGGTACTCGAATCTGTGACCTAACTCTGATAGCACTTGTTAGATCAAGCGCTTATCATTACAACAAAAACTATAACTCGCAACCTTATTTTCTTATAGACCGACATAACATTTTCGATAGATAAGATGCTGGACTTGACCTTTCACATTGACCTCCATCCTACATATATCATAACAACTATACAAAATAATTTGTACATAATTAGGATTATCATACCCTTAATTTCTTTTCAAAGGTCTTGCATGCACATTTTGTTTCATATTGGAACTTGTATTTGGGTTGTATGATATATACAGGAAAGGATTGAAAAGTATAGTGTTAGAAAGATCCGAAACACTTCGAGCATATGGAGGAGGAATTGGGCTGTTGCCCAACGCATGGCGAGCACTTGATCAACTTGGTGTTGGGTCCCGGCTAAGAAGCATGGCTGTTCTTCTGCAGGGGTGAGTGATTATTATTGATTAACAACTTGCGATATATATATATATATATATATATATATATATATATATATATATATATATTATATGGTCAAATCATTTATTGCATAATTTATAATAATGTGTATGTAGCGTTGTACGTCCATATATACAACAATTACTCCCACTACCTGCAGTGCGCCAGTGCCCAATTGTTATAGTGTGGTCTATACTGCTACGTGAATTATGGTTGTCGAATTAAACTGTAGTAGAATTAAAAGGATATTGGGGTTGGAATGCTTCCAATTACTCAACACTTGATCCATTGGTTTGTGGCCCTTCCAACGCACTTATTATCAGGTAAATTAATTCTTCACTAATTTGTTACTTTCACACGTTAATTTCAATTTTATTCCATCAAAAATATATATATAGGGCAGGGTTCATATATGTGAGAACACATCCCCTCTGTAAGAAAATATAGATACATTCACACCTTTTATCTTGAGAAATCAAAAAAAAATTAATAATTATAAAATTGACTTGTGTTACTTTTATTAAAACACTAAACCAATTGATAAATTCAGACAGACTAATCATATCAAACCTCACTTTTCTGATTATAACATAATATGATTGACAGGTGATAAGTTCCCACATGATCCAAAATACATCAAACAGATGACCTTAGAGTTAATAAAGGACTTCCCTTCAAACATACAAGAAATAATAGAATTGTCGGACTTAGATTCTCTGTCTGCCACGCACTTGAGGTATCGTGCACCCTGGGACTTGGTCCTTGGGACCATGCGTAAAGGGACGGTTACTGTTGCGGGGGACGCAATGCATGTGATGGGCCCTTTTGTAGGGCAGGGTGGCGCCTCCGGGCTAGAAGATGCGGTGGTGCTGGGGAGATGCCTCAGCATGGCAATGAGTGGGATTGAAGGCAACAGCAAGAAGGAAAAGATTGCAAAAATTGAAGCCGGATTGGATCAATATGTGAAAGAAAGGAGAATGCGAGTTTTGGGATTGTCCACTCTCACTTATCTCATTGGTATCATTGTGGGGAGCACATCCCCACTAGTAAAGATGGTTGCTGGCTTTGCCTTGGCTATTCTGTTTAGGGACAGAGCAGCCCATATTCATTTTGATTGTGGTCGACTCTAATAGGTATATCTTGCCTCAAATACTATATACTAAATTAGTAAGTTAAGTTCGTGTGGGCGTAATGTGTATATTTTAATGGATGGGTTAGGAGTACTACATTATAATTTTATAAAATTAATACCATGACATGTATTAAGTTTCGATCAAATTCTGGGTAGGTGTCTTGTTAAAGGATTCTACATCAATCCTGGGAGGTGGCTTAGTTTCTATATTTTGAGTTGATTAACTAGTTGTGTTATGTTGTGTTTCAAGCATGTTTTATTGGTTATTAGATTGTGTATTGTAGCATTATAGTTTTGTACTGCCCGCTTTCTCATATCAATAATAATGGAATTGCGATTCCTTCCTACCATTGAATTGTAATTCTATGGTGAATTACTAATTTACCCTTATTATTATTATATTATTATTATATTATTATATAAGGGTATTTTAGTCTTTTTTTCACTTCATCCCTTTTAATTCTCATATATTCTATCCATGCCTACTAACCAATGTAATTTAAATTTTCAATTTATCTTTTTCATAAAATTACAATATGTTTCCCCCTAATTCCTGGTAATGATGAGGGCAATCACCTAGTGACCAGCGAGCTTCTCACCATCCAGTTGTCCCCACATCGTCATCAACGGTGGAGGCTGCTACTTCGTCGTTTCAATCGCCCACTTCCACTACGACAACAAGGCGATGACAACGCCAACGCCCCACAAGGCACAAAATACTTGTCCACACGAACTGGGACATCTTCAAGAATTCCAATAGGCTTTACGATGGATCTATCCGTCATTTCTAAAGTGAATTGGATTGGTTTTGGTTCTCCCAACCCTAACCCTTGACAAAGAGTAAGAGGCATAACACTCACACTGGCTCTTAAATCGTAAAGGGATCCCTTTAAAGGTCGGCCTCCAATCACACAAGGAATTGTGAACTTTCCCGGATCTCTATGCTTAGGTATATTCCTCCCAATTCCCGGGGTCAACGCTCGATACTCTTGTGCCACAGCTACCATCTCTCGTTCCCCATATTTCTTTTTCTTAGCTAGAATTTCTTTCAAAAATTTTCCATAAGAGGGAACTTGTGAAAGCAAATCAAGTAAGGGAACTGAAACTTTCAAACTCTCAACAATCTCCAAAAACTTTTTCCACCTACTTTCATTTGTTGTTTCAAATTTTTGAGGAAAAGGCAATGGGGGTACATACCTTCTCACGGGCTTCTCTACTTCTTTTTGAACTCGTGGATTATTTTGCACAACAATTGGCTCATCTTCTATACCATCAATTATCTCTTCAATCTTCTCCTCAACTATCTTTTTAGGAATTGATGCTGTGATTAGAAGAGGTGGCTCTTCAAGTACTTTGCCACTCCTTGTAACAATTGCATTTACATGCTCCCTTGGATTTTCAGGCATAGCTGGCAACTTCCCTGTGACTTTAGTACTTGATATAGAAGGTTGATTTGCTAATTGCTTTTCAACCATATTTTGGCGAGCATCCATCTTATCCATCATTTCTGTAATCTCTAACTGACCTTTTATCAATTTTTCCAACAATACTTCCGTATTCGATTGTGGTGGGGCCTCTGAAACGGAAAATTTAGATTGAACTTGAGTACCTTGAAAACCCAGAGGACCTCTATTAACAAAGTGTTGAGGGTTGGCAGCTCCCATTGGGTTGCTCCATGAAAAACCGGGATGGTTCCTTGAATTATTAGGATGGTAGGTCCCTTGAGGTTGGAAAGATTGTTGATGAGGCCTATTATATCCCACCATATTAACTTGCTCCATAGAGGTTTGGGAATTTAACTCCTCGAGACAATCCCCTGACTTATGTCCGCCACCACAAAGTTCACACATCAAAACTCGACCAAGAGTAGGAGGGTTAGAAACATGACTCGCATTGTGGTTTTAGATGGTGATTTGGGCAAGTTTTTGAACCATGGAAACCACATTATCCAACTTTGTTGACAAATCGGTTAATTGCCCCGCATCATGAATTCCTCCTACAAGCTTTTGTGGAGACTTCTCCGTGTACCAAGTAGATCCATTCATAGCAATTTTCTCCAATAGTTCCTCAGCTTGTGTTGGCTCTAGAATCGTGAACGAACCACCCGAAGAAGCATCCACCAAAATCCTAGAATTATCAAGCAATCCTTCATAGAAAGACATCATCAAATCCCAACTTTGAAATCCATGGTGTGGACATTGCCTCTTCAATTCCTTAAATCTCTCCCAAGACTCAGTGAGGGACTCAGTTGCCAGTTGCTTAAAGTTTTGAATTGCCCTTCTCATCCTTTGAGTTTTGGAGATAGGATAGAACTTCTTCAAAAATTCTCCATGTAATTTTTCTCAAGTGCCAAAATGGTTATCTGGATGTGAGGATAACCAATCTTCAGCCCTGTCCTTCAGTGTAAAGGGGAAAAGCCTCAGTCTGACAGCATCTTGAGTGACTCCATTCATCTTGAAAGTGCCACAAAGTCGTAGGAACTTGGTGGTGTGAGCATTGGGATCTTCCGTGGGCATCCCTCCAAATCGATCCGTCGCAGCCATGCTGAGTATGGCCGGATTGATCGCAAAGTTATTGGCCTCCACATTTGGAATATTGATGCTACCATGCTCCTCAACATCCGGAGCAAGGTAGTCAGACATTGATCTCCCTTCAACTTGGTTTTCTTGTACCTGTGCCATCCTAGTTTGTTTTCTAAGAAACTTGGCTCTTTTCTCAATCTCAAGATTCAAAGGTAATAATCCTTCTTTCCCAAAAGATCGTGTACGCATACAAAGTCAAGTTCTTAGATTCAAAGCAAAATCACACTCAAGAACAAGGAACTTGTTATGGGTTAGCAAATAAAATAAAATAAAATAAATAAATGGACTAGACTCCTAAAGTAAGACTTTCACTAATGTCAGTACGTAACGCCACCTCCCCGGCAACGGCGCCAATTTGATTGTGGTATTTTTGGGCAAACAAATGATACCCGGAGTATTCAGGTAGTCGAACCACAGGGAGATGGGGTACTAATCACTAGTTACTCGCTTACTCATTAGAACTAGTCTGGTCGAAACTTGAAGGTTGGTTGGTTGCATAAAATAACAAGCAGAATAAAATAAGTAATAAGGTTTTGTAGACAATAGAGCAAAACAGGATTCTTGGGATCACAATGTTTAATCACCTAGTGCCAATTAACGTTTGTAATATTTTGTTTGGAATTAAGATCTGTGTAGGAATGCAAAGTGGAATCGAATTACTCCCGTAATCTCTATTCCTAGTGAATTTCCACTCCCGTGGCTTAAACACCCGATAAGATCGAAGATCAGCATTCAATTATTCATAATTACTACCATCTCCCGATGAGCAACAATCTAGAATAAACTTCCCCTAATAGGTTCCCCTTTCCCAAGGTCCAACCATTAGGTGCAATCGTGTGTGTCCTAATTTATGCCCCAATTCCCATTGGTGACACAAATATGACTATGAAGCTAGTAATTTAGGCCTTTAATTACCAACAACAACAGGTTAAAAACAAGATTGCAACACAAATCATAAAACCAAACATAAATATATTAAGAAATTAACGAACTAGGCACATAGGTTCATAAACAAATTCACCCAAAAATCCCTAAGGAATTTAGCCAAGCATGGCTAAATTATACATAGCAAATATAAATAAAGAATTACAAATCATCAAAAGAGTACAAGAATTGACCAAGCGATTCTCCCAAATCTCCTTGGCTTCCTCCTTGCTTCCAAAGACAACTTGAGGCTCTTGATTTCTCTCTTTCTTGTCTACAAAGAACTCTAAAAATCTCTCCCTCTCCCTATTTCATTAGGGTTGAGGAAGGTGGGATTTTATAGTAGGTATAAAGCTGAAACGGAATTGAAATATTCCTAAATTAAATAAGAAATTGCCGTCCCACTTAATTGGAATATTTTCTAATTTTTGATTTTGGAAACTTAAATAAAGCTTTGGAAATTGAAATTGAATTGGGAAATTGAAATTGAATTGGAAGTTGAAGATGCTGAAGCCAACACCCTTTTGTAATTAAGCTGGCGACTTCGTGTTTCGCTCGACGCGTCGAGACCTGCTGGACTCGATCATAAAACATTCTGGAAATTTTCGACGCGTCGAGTCCTCTGGGTCCCGAACTTGTCCAAAATTGCTCCAAAGTCATCCTTGAACTCCCCTTACTCATATCTTTGACCTAATGGATAGCTCATGCAGAAGATTTTTCTCTATGAATTTTAAGGTATATTTGTTGTTATCGCCGTTTTAAACTACGATTGGATACAAAAACAACTTTTGTAAGCCAAAACATAGAATTGCTCCTAGCAGACTTTCACCGATATGTGATCCACAGCCTGAAATTGTATTACTGAGTATCTGTGTTCATATTAATTGATTCTTGACATCATAGCTGTTTATATACATGCTTCTATGTTTCAAGCTGTTTAGCTAATTGATCCACATAATGAGTTTTCAAGTTGTCATGGGTGAATCTCAAGATGCGTACTGCCTACTGAGATGGAGTAGGATGATTTATCTTCTTATTTATCTCGTGTATTCCAACATTTAAGTTGATGTAAAATATTACTTTCTTGTCGATCTTTTGCATCTAAGTTCCTACCATCTATTATTGGATCTGGAACGATCCTACTATCCCACTGGTTTATAAACTTTAAATGGCACTTTTTATTGTTTTGTCACGGTGTAATATATAATATTAGAGACTTGGTGACCCTTCATAGTTTTGATTTATACATTTTTCACAGAGTTCATAATGGCATAATGCTATTCAATTGTGGCTCATATCCAATGCCTTCATAATGAAAACAATTGCATTTAAGGTATGTAACTATAAGTAATGTATGTTTATTTGAGTAGATAGTTATTTAATATTAATATATGGGTCCTTTTTTACACAATCTAGGTTTGTTCTTCCATGTTTTCGGTCGATTTTTCAAATCTAACTAACTATACTTGTTTTCATTTACAGATCTAGTACGGTGACTCATCAAAGTCCTCAAGTTCTTGAAAGGTGTCTGAAATCTGGGGTTTTGATAGGTAGCATTATGTTGAAGTTCATAATTATTATGTAAGCTGATGTGCACAGTAAGGTATTTGCATGTATTTCTTTGTAGTTAATATGTTGGTATTTAATTGCATTACTATATTAGACTTTTTGACTTGGCAAATTGCAATGTAGGTATGGTTGAAAAAGAGTTTGAAGGAGTTAAAATACAATTATACTGAAGAAAGATCACCAATACTGTGAGGTATGTTGCTTCTTACTGTTGTTATAGGTCCTAGGCTTTTTATGTACCAATAAATTTGTGATATGCAAGTTAGGGCCATGCATCACTATTTGCAATGTGCTTAAAATAACCTTAGTCAAATATATTTCAACTATTAAATAATTTTATTGCTAGACATATTACAATAAATGCCTAAAAGTACAGTTCTAAGGTTACATAGCTGATTTTCTACACTATAGCCACTATCTACTGCATTTGGTTTACACATCCATATGTTGTTCCAGAAGTTAGGAATATTAGGGTTGAGTGTTTATAGCCAGTAGCTTCAACTTGTGGAAGTTTAAGCCTGAAGTTGAGCTTAACCCTTCAATGAGTTTCTTCAAACCTGAAAAAAAAAAAAAAAAAAAAAAAAAAAAAAAAAAAAAAAAAAAAGGAATACCACTAAACAGTGTTAGTGGTACAATGCCATCAGATATCTCATTGATATCTATTTTTTGGTACCTGCACTATAGAAAGCAATAAGGCATTCTATTAGGGAGTGAAATGATAATTGTTTGCCCATATTTCTGTGAAACAGCCACATGACAGTAGTTTTGTATTATCACAGTTGTAGTCAATTTATAGTCTGTGTTTGAATTGAAGCCAGCATTTAATATTTAATTTCTTATTGGAATTCTAATAGTTATATAGTTTTATCCTTAGCAATGGTTAAGTAAATCCATCACATAGCTACAATTACACTCATATATAAAGTCTATTTACTTTTTTTTTTTACATTCTAACTCATTTTTTAAAATCAATACCTTTATATTGATTTTGCAATAGAATCCCATTTCTTCTTCCTCATGCTTAAATGATTCCAAGGTGAAATCAATTTTACCCTTTGATATACTGCTTTCAATTCTGCTGCTAGAAAGCTTTTTATTGCATACTTTTGACTTGCAAGAGACATATGACCAGTCAGGATACCCTTCCATGTCATTACTGATAGAAATAGATTCTTTTACAAAGCAGCTAAAAAAATAAATTAGTGAAACAATTTATGTCCTCTAGCTAGTTGCCTCTTTCCACTCATATAGATCAGAGATGGTACTTACAACCATTCTGCCACAGATAAGATCTATTTCTGTTTGACTATAAGTCAAGCTTGAAAAGGAGTTGATACTCCTTAATGGAGTCTGCTCAGCACAAAGACTACATAGAGAGAAGGAAAAACACACTTAAGTTGTAAGAATATATCATAAGATGAAGATATCTTGACCTCAACTGTGTGGCATCATAAGATGAAGATATCTTGACATCACCAGTTTTCACAAAAAGAGTAGATTCATCTATGAATAGAATAAACTACAAATCATAAGTAAACATTAGCTTCACTTACTGTTAACTTCTGTCTTAACTCTAGCAATGTATCTCAGACCCCTCATCTTGTTCTTCTTCCTCAATCATCCTATAGAGATGATCATGTTCATCATTCACAGAGGGGCAGTATAGTGTATGATAACCACAAAATCTCTTATTGCATACACCTTCCCTTTAGCAGTTTAGTAAAGGGTACATTACCATGAATGTAGGAATCCTACGCAATAAAAGATTTCAAAGCTTTATATTTTAACAACAACCCACTGTGTATTATATTGCAGGTACAAATACAAAAAAATTACCTCCATGTCATGAAAGAAGCATTCTTGGCTCTTGATTGCATCAAAGTTTCAGCCTTCAGGTACTAAATAGTTGTTTTCCTAAAACGTACAGTGGAGCCATTTGAGTAGCGCCTACTGCAAAAAACTATGGTATACATTATATTTCTAGGATTCTATTTGTTTTCAAAAGAAAGTTGAAAGAGGATACAAAGGTTCACCTTATTCTTGTAGCAACTGTCTTCTTCCTCGTGAATGATTCCCCAACAGGCCGAATGCAAAAAAAAAAGTAAATGAAGTTTAAAGCAATCACAACAGGCTGAGATTTTACCTGATTTGAGTGCTTTATATAGAGGTTGAATTATTCTGGGCTCTTGTAGAATAACGAAGAGGCAAGCTTTGGAACAATAAAAAGGCATGATTACATTTTTCAAACCAAAAGACCTTTCATAAAGGTTGTGTTCAATTAGATTTCAAATACTTCAGATTTGTAATTAAAGTATGCAACGATTCTGTTTTCTAAATTTATTATTGTGGTTCTCAATGTTTACATGCATAGGTAATATAAAGAACTAACAAACTTAATATAAAAAATTATTAATGAATTAGGCTAAATTTAATCAGTGGCTGTAATTGAATATGAACATCATTAATTATAGCGTAAATCGACATTTCTCTTAAACGGTATCGTTTTCATTGGGCGGGAAAAAATGATTGACAAAACTTCTTGCTTTATTATAGAGTTAGAAGTTAGATTAGAAGTTAGATTAGATAATTGAATTATTGGCTCATTTTCTCTCCCCAAGCCAATACGCGAATGGATGTTTTCATGAGATATTGATAATTAAAAAAAATTATGTCGTCGCACATAAAGTCATATTTTTAAAAGCGAAAAGTGTGTAGTAGTATTAATGTATTTGTAATTTTTATAAATTAAATAAACAATTGAAGGCGCATATTTATTTTTTTTAGCACAACATTTTTACGTACAATATTGTAGCATTTTTTTAAATAATAATAATAACAATAACAATAACAATAACAATAACAATAACAATAACAATAACAATAACAATAACAATAATAATAATAATAATAATAATAATAATAATAATAATAATAATAATAATAATAATAATAATAATAATAATCTATCTGGTGCAATTGTAATCCATAGGAATTTTTTGTTGATGAGTGTACTCCACTTATGATAGATACTTGGGTTGTATTTAATAATCAGAAATAGCCTCAAATGTGATGATTAGTCCGGTTATAGATGATAAATAATTAAATAAACTAATTACAACTTATATAACACGTGAAAAGTGTATGTACATGTATATTTCAATGGCAAAAAAAAAAAAAAAAAAACAACAACAATAATAATAATAATAATGCATGTGCCTCTGATCTAGCAGTAAATCAGGCCAGACTAATTAATAAATAGGTTAAAGTATCATCCCGCACCATAAACCATTCCTGATTATTCGTACCGCACCATGAACTTTAATAAGTGATATTTAGAGCCATAAATCATATTTTTTTTTTCGTCTAGAATTTTTTACAGGTTTCCTACAGGTTACCGGTAATAATATTGCTGACATATAATTTTTATTAGTTTTTTTTGATATTTTTCTACTTTCGCCTTCGTATTATAATTTATTTCGTATTTTTCTTTTTTCCTAAATATATAGGCATACTCTGCGTTTTTCGCTTCTCATAGATTTACAACCATCATTTGTTTGAGGGTTGTTTCATAGCCAGAGGGTTGTTTCTGATATGCGAACTGAAGGTGCTAAAGTCAACGATGCATTCCTGTGCGATGCACTCGTTGATAAGTTGCCCGAGTCGTGGGTAGACTTCAAAAGTAAAATGAAACACGAGCGACGCAACTACACCCTTCAAGAACTTATCAGTAGCATCAACATTGAAGAGGAAAATCGCACGGTACAAAAATCTGAATCCTTTTCTTTTAATTCAAAGGCTAACATTGTTGAGACTACAGGAAAAGATGATAGGCATTAAAAAGGTGATCAAAATAAAAATAAAAAAAGGAATGCGAAAAATAACAACAATCGCATCAAAAATGGGAAAATTCAGAAAAAGGGCAAGGGCGATGAGTGTTATGTTTGTGGGAAACGGGGACACCAAGCTGCACAGTGCTATCATCGCAAAGGGTCCACAAATAAAAATTCAGAGAATGACGGATCCAAAAATCAAGCAAATGTGGTAGAAACCACGGAGGATGACGAGGCCGTAGCAGTGGTGATTACTGAGATTAACATGGTCGGAGACCCAAACGAGTGGGTCGTGGACACGGGGGCATCTCGTCACTTATGCAACAACAAGTCCTTTTTCAAGGCGTTCGAGCCCGTCACTGGAGGAGAACAAGTCTTCATGGGCAACTCCAGCATTTCTGAGGTAAGTGGTAGAGGAAAAGTAGAGTTATTGCTTAATTCTGGCAAGAAGTTATTACTGAACAATGTGTTGTATGTTCCCTCTCTACGAATGATACACATTCCATAATAAGATCAACCCACTTGGTACAAAAGCCCATCTTGATCATAATATTACGCAGCAGAGTCAATTTCAATCTATCATAAGCCTTGCTTATGTCAAGCTTAAGGGTTGACAAACCTTTCTTGCCTTGTGTTTTTTCTTCATATGATGTTGCATTTCAAATGCAAGCATTATATTGTCTATGATCAATTTCCCAGGAACGAAAGCCCCCTGATCTCAGAAACTAGATCATTCAACAATACTTTCAGCCTATTTGCCAGAGATTTAGCTAGAATCTTGTAGGCAACGGAACACAGGGCAATAGGCCTAAGGTCTGCCATAGTTTTCGGTGTGGACTTTTTCGGTATCAACACAATTTGAGTAGTGTTGATATCCTTTGGAAGCTTGCCAATGGATAGGAATTCGTTGCAAAAATTTACTAAGCTATCTCCAGTATATCCCAAAATGATTGGAAAAAGCCCGAATTAAATCCATCAAATCCCGGACTCTTGTCTGGATGCATGCTAAACAGAGCCTTCCTAATCTCAGATGAAGAAAATTTTTGCATCAACAAAATATTTTGGGAATTAGTAACATAAGCATTTATACAATCTAGGACAGGAGAGCTACTCCCAGCAGTACTAGAAAAGATGTTTGTGAAGTAGTCTCTTACCATAGAATCAAGTTCTGGTCCTTGTTCGACCTAATTGCCAGCCTGGTTACGGAGTTTTAGAATCTCGTTGTTCCTTCGGCTCTGCTTCACAACATTGTGGAAAAATTTGGTGTTGTGATCACCACCCTTGAACCAAAACAACTTAGCGCTTTGTTTGCTCCAAAATAATCAACGAGTCTACTATTTTAGTTGGAAAAGTCTACTCAAAATGGTCCCACTAGTACTAGTATAAATATATGTACTCGCCACTCCTAGACCACCATATTCAACACTTTGACTAATATAGAACACAGGGAGATTAGAGAGAGAGATGGAATTTGCAGCGCCGGCAGCTGAAAAGCATGAGATAGTGATAATCGGTGGTGGCATTTGTGGACTTGCCACAGCCCTTGCTCTTCACAGGTACCATTACAAGTTTACAACCTACCTATATATATTTGTATTATTAAGCTCACAAATACCATAAATATGAAAATTTTGTTATTAAAATATTAGTATTATTTCCTTATAGACTCTCCACTGGCCTCCGTCCAACAATTCCCCCTCCTAGTACCTGTCAGTTTTTGCTCTTATTAAGACTCAATCTGTGACTAGAATTTTATACTACTTGTTAAGATCAAACGCTTAATTACCATCTTGTCAAAAGTTATAGCTTGTAGCGAAAGTACAACTTTATTTCTTTGTACTGCTACACATTTTCGAGAGCTTAGGGTGCTGGACTTGGACCATTTACCGGCCTCCGCCCAACAATTCCCCCCAACACCACCCAGTCTAAACTGCTCTTGCTGGGACGGGAACCCGTGACCTGACTATGATACCACTTGTTAGGTCAAGCACTTATCACTACACCAAAAACTATAACTCCAACTTTATTTCCTAATAGACTAACATCACATTTTTCTAGAGATAGGATACTGAACTTGACCTTTAATTCACCGGCCTCCCTCCAACATATATCTTAACAACTATATAAAATAATTTGTACATATATAATTAGGATTTATCATACCCTTTATTTCTAGCTTTTTAAAGGTCTTGTACATATTGTTTGATATTGGAACTTGTATTTGCGATGTATCATACAGGAAAGGATTGAAAAGTATAGTGTTAGAAAGATCGGAAACACTTCGAGCACAAGGGGGAGGAATTGGGCTGTTGCCTAACGCATGGCGAGCACTTGATCAACTTGGTGTTGGGTCCCGGCTAAGAAGCATGGCTGTTCTTCTGCAGGGGTGAGTAGTCATTATATTATTGATTAACAACTTGTGATATATATATATATATATATATATATATATATATATATATATATGGAATATATATTATTATATGGTCAAATCATTTATTGCATAATTAATAATAATGTGTTTGTAGCGTTGTACGTCCATACAACAATTACTCCCACTACCTGCCTGCCCTTGACTCCATCCAAATAATTTAATTTTGTGGTGCTTGTCTTGTCGCTATCATATACGGAGTATATATCAACTTTTGATAATAAGTTCACCATACAACCTATTCTTTCTACTTTAATTTATATACTTGTGCTATAAATATACGTGTGAATTTTATGATATTGTTTCACGTTTTTTTTTTTAAATAATGTTATGTTAATACATTATTTCTTATTAATGCAGGGGACGTGATATCTTGATTGACGAAAATAAAGAACGAAAGATAGAACATGTGTAAGTTTGATATTCATTCATATTTTAATTCTCATGTTTTCTAATTGGAAGTGGAATGAATTATTTAAATTTGTAAACATAAAAATTTCAAACAATCAGTGTCACTAAGGTGTTTAAAAGGGGAAAAAAATAACGGAATATGTAATATTATATCTTTAATATAAAAAAATCTTCAATGTATGATCAAGAATAAATATATATACATGTTTGCATTCAATGTTATTTATTTAATCATAATGTAATATTTATAATAAATTAATTTAATCATAATAAGTTGTTATAAAGTATTGTTTGAAAATTATACTAATTTGATTTCTATTATATTGTATTAAATTATTAAAAGAATCCACTATGCATACTCTAACTTTTTTACTTTTTACTAACATAACATATTAACATATATTTTGAGTCATTTAGGGAAAAATAAGTTATATATAGTTTTTATTTATTTTTCCTCCTAAAAAAATCAATATGTATATCTTTTTTTATTATTATTACTGTAAGTCCACTTATCAATCTCTATATACTAAATTAAGTATGTATGTGGTGGTGATTATGGATAGGATTGGAGAGTCACGTTGCTTGCAAAGGAGTGATCTTATCACAACGTTGGCTGACGAATTACCGATTGGGACTATACGCCTTGGTTCTGAGGTTGTCTCCATTGACCTTGACTCTGTTACTGAAACGCCACGCCTTCTGCTCACTTGTGGGAGCTACATTGATGCAGAGGTATTTAGCTATAGTTTTAGTACGATGATAAACATTTGATTTTGTCAATTGGTGTCAAAGTAGGTCATTAAATTATGATTTTTTTTAGTTCATGTTTTAAATTAAATTTGTTGGTTATAATTTAAAGCTTAATAAGTTTATAAATGGCAGATTGTGATAGGGTGTGAAGGAGGGAGGTCAAAAGTGGCAGAGTTGCTAGGGTTGAAGGCGTCAAGGGCATTTGATGTTGGTGTAATTAGGGGCCTAACAACCTACCCAAATGCTCATTCAATGCCACATGAATTTCGCAGAATTAGAAAAGGAAAAATTGGGGTTGGAATGCTTCCAATTACTCAACATTTGATCCATTGGTTTGTGAACCTTCCAACGCACTTATTATCAGGTATAAATTAATTCTTAACTAACTTGTTATTAAAATCCTCGACCATTAATGAATCTGGATAGACAATTAATCCCAGGTCTCACTTTTCTGATTAAAATCTAATGTGATTGATAGGAGATAAGTTCCCAAATGATCCAAAACACATCAAACAGATGGCTCTAGAGTTAATAAAAGACTTCCCTTCAAACATACACGAAACAATAGAATTGTCGAACCTGGATTCTATGTCCGCCGCGCACTTGAGGTATCGTGCACCATGGGACTTGCTCCTTGGGACCATGCGTAAAGGAACGGTTACTGTTGCGGGGGACGCAATGCACATAATGGGCCCTTTCATAGGGCAGGGCGGCGCCTCCGGGCTAGAAGACGCGGTGGTGCTGGGGAGATGCCTCGGCATGGCAATGAGTGGGATTGAAGGCAACAACAAGAAGGAAAAGATTGCAAAAATCGAAGCTGGGTTGGATCAATATGTGAAGGAAAGGAGAATGCGGGTTTTGGGATTTTCCACTATCACTTATCTCATTGGTATCATTGTGGGGAGCAAATCCCCACTCATAAAGATGGTTGCTGGCTTTACCTTAGCTATTCTGCTTAGGGATAGAGTATCCCATGTTCATTTTGATTGTGGTAAGCTCTAATGGGGATATCTTGTCCCGAATATAGCCTATTAAATCAATAAGTTAAGCTCGTGCGCGTTTAATGCTTATATCTTAATGGATGGGCTAGATGTACTACATATAATATTATAAAATTAATATCATGACATGTATTATGTTTTGATAAAAGTTAGGTAGGTGTCTTGTTAAAGGATTGTACATCAATCCTGAAAGGTGGGTTGGTTCCCATATTTTGAGTTGATTAACTAGTTGTGTTATGTTGTGTTTCAAGCATGTTTTATTAGTTATTAGATTGTGTATCGTAGCATTACAGTTTTGTACTTCCCACTTTCTCATATCAATAATAATTTTTACCCTTATATATAAACTAGCATTTTGTACGCACGATGTGTAAAAATTCATGCACAATATTAACACATTGATAAATATAAATAATTAAAATTATAGTTCAAGTTATATATGCAAATAATATATGTATTATATAAACACACATGTGATCGATTTAACATTTATAGAAATTTAATTAAAATATAATCAACAGATAAATTAATTATATAATGATTTTAATAAAATGATAATTAAATAATATGAAAAATATATGGTAGATATAAGTGTATGGTAATAATGATGAAGTCATGAATGTTAGAATTAAATAGTAACGGAGTTAGATTCCAACCATGGAATTGCAATTCCTAGGGTATCCTAGAAATTGTAATTTTGCACTTTGTGGAATTATAATTCCATGGTGAATTACTATTTTACACTTTTTCTTGTTATTAAATTACTAGTATTTACACATGTGCGATGCACATAATACATTTGTTATAATATAAAATCAGACAGAGGATTGGCTCGTGGAACAAGAAGCTCTTATCGCAGGCTAGTAAGGAAATTTTGTTGAAAAGTGTAGCCCAGTTTATGCCTACGTTTTAAATGACTACCTATGTCTGTTTGCACAGCTATTGAGCGTACTATGAACCGTTACTGGTGGGTCCGGGAATGATCGTGGCATTCAATGGAAAGCCTGGGATAGATTATGTATTCCAAAGAAATATGGGGGACTGGGTTTTAAGGACCTACTTGCCTTTAATTTGGCAATGTTGGGTAAACAGGGATGGCGATTTCTTACTAAGCCTAATTCGCTAGTAGCCCGTGTTTACAAGGCCAGGTACTATCCTAAGGGTTCTTTTTCTGAAGCATGTTTAGGGAATAACCCCAGTTTTTGTTGGCGTAGTGTTATGACAGCACAGGGTTTAGTTTGCAGTGGAGTGAGGCGTAGAATTGGGAATGGGGAGACTACATCAATTTGGAAGCACCCCTGGCTACAAGATGATCAGGACCCAATGATACACACTGAGATTCCCCCTCAGTTGGCTAACGCTTGTGTGGTAGGTTGAATTGATCATACTACGGGTTCGTGGGATTATTCTTTACTAACTGATATTTTACTTCCCGTTGATGTGCCTCGTATATTGAAAATCCCCATTTCGATGGCTTATGATGATTCCTGGTATTGGCATGGGGACCCCAAGGGTTGCTACTTGGTTAAGAATGACTACAGAACCAATGTATGGAATTTTGTTGGTAACGAGAATGCCTTTAATAAATGGCTATCTTTGTGGAAGCTGAAAATCCCCCTAAGTGGAAAAATGTTTTATAGAGAGCCTTGAGTGATATTCTTCCTACTACTAAGAACTTGCTTATAAAGAGGGTGGAGGTTGATCCTATTTGTGCCATGTGTGGGATCAATCAAGGGGACACTATGAAAATTTTGGTATTGTGTGATTTTGCTAGAACCATTTGGTGTGAATCCAACCTTCCAATCCCCAATATTGTGACAAATGTTTTTCATACTTGGTTTGAAGAAGTTACGAATATTCTAGACACTAATGGGATGATGTTCACAACTGCTATTCTTTATCACATTTGGAGGGCGAGAAATGGTGCGGTTTGGGAAGCATGTCTACCGACACCGCTAAAGCTAGTAGCTACCGCTACTGCCGCATTGCACGCGTGGCGCCAAGCTCACCCAGACAGCAGCCCCCCGTCCTCGACCGAAGCTGCCGAGCCGACCACGAGCAGTGCTGCTGCCTTCAACCTCGTTGCTGCCCCATTGCGGAGATGTCGTTTCGACGCTCGATTCCAGTCTTCAGCGAACAAAGCTACGGTGGGTGCAGTGTTGTTCGATGAAAGCGGAAGTTATGTCGTGGCTTTCAATGCCAACCTCCCGGATTGCTTCTCTCCGTTAATATCTGATGCTTTCGCATGTAAGGAAGCCTTGTCTTGGTTAAGAGATCGTGGAGAGAATTTGATTGAGTTACATACAGACTGTTTGAGTCTTCAACATTATTTGTCCTCGGTCGCTGGCCCCGTCAGTTCTTATGTCGGCTTTGCTATTAATTGATAGTTGCAAATCCTTAATTTATTTCTTCTGTCGATTGCTGTTTAGTTAAGTTCATTCCTAGAGCAGACAATTTGATAGCTCACATGTTAGCATCTACGACTTTTGGCCAGACTACTGCTTTGTATTGGGATTCTATCCCGCCACTCTATTTTTGCTTATATTTAATATACAACGTTCTTGTTGCTTTCAAAAAAATTCGTAAGAGGATGATCTTAATTCGCAAATTAAAAACATATTGCAGAATATGAGTAAATTAAGAATAGATTAAGAAGTGACAAATCTATATATATATATATATATATATATATATATATATATATATATATATATATATATATATATATATATATATGAGTTAATTCCAGCAATGGTCCTTCGACAATTGTGATTTTCCAAAATTAATCCTCGTCTTTTAATTTGGACAAAAAAAGACCCTTAACTATCAAATTTGTTCCGGCATTGGTCCTTCCGTTAACCTTCCGTTTGCTAGGTGTTAGTGTAGAGGCTAAAATAGTTCTTGGATCATCACCGTTGTAATTTGGAACCGCGATTTATTCATCATTGATTGAGTGTTCGCCCATGCAAACTAATCAATATAATATTTTTTTTTTTTGCTCGTTCTTTTGAGTATAATATTGTCTATATTTGGATGGTCGTGTATATGTATAAATGTTTGGGTAGTACGGTTGTGCATACGTGTGTGCTGATTGTGCAACCTAGTGTTGTAAGTTGTGCACCATAGGCTAGAGAGTTATGCATTATAACACATAGTTCAGTGCATCGTAGGGCATTGGGATATCCACTAGGATTTTTTGGCGGGATTTAAATGCACAACAATAAAGTTATCGGTGCACAACACTCAATATAAAAATGCACAACATTTTGTATAGGAATGCACATCTTTTAATAAGACTGATTTACCCTAAATTTATATATTTTAATATTTTAAAGGAATTTGTTTTCTTAATCCGTGTGATTTGCTCCTTTTAATCTCAGCCATACATCATTCTGATTTAATGGTCTAGATTAGTCCTCACGTCATCACCTAAGATTAGGTTCTCACCTAATCCGGACCCTTTATATATATATATATATATATATATATATATATATATATATATATATATATATATATATATATATATATATATATATATATATATATATATATATATATAAGTAAAATCCTCTCCATATATATATAAGTAAAATCCTCTCCAATAGTGTTTTCCCGCCCAAACTTATTTTATTGGTCAAAGTAATGATAATTTTTATTTGGTAAGAAAATGATGCATTGAAATTGGTAATATTAAAGTAGCAGGGCATGGTATAATTAATTATGGTTAATTTGATCAGTAATATTAACATAGAATAAAAGTTTATTCTAAACCCTAAGAATAAATAACACTATATTATGGTAAAGAAGAATAAACGACGTAATAACATAAAATAAAAACTTAATAATTAATTATGATAATAACATAATAATTTGCTATTTAAATCCATCATTATGCTAAACCTAAAGCTGTAAGCTTGCAACGTATTTCTGCCTTTGTACTCTCCTATGTACACCGATTCTCAATGGCGGCTAAACTTCACAGCGAGATTGTTGGTTGTCATGATCAACTTCATCCTAGACTCCAGTGGAATAACATCAGGTTTAGAATACTCCGTGTCGTTCGTCTTCCAGAGACAAGAGGTTCTAAAACCATAAACTCTATAGAGTGTGTAGTACATGATGTAGAGGTTTTTTTTTTTTTTTAGTATAATATTTTGTATTTCTAAAATTTGAGTTGATGCATATGATTTTTTTACAATTTCAGGGAACTTTTATACATATGCATATTCTTCGAATGTATATTGAAAAGTGGCTCAACAAATTTTAAAAAGGCAAAGTTTATCAAATTCATAAATTTGTGGTGGTTTATAATGAGTATAAAAACAAATTAAAACTACTAATCACATGTATATGCTTAAGTTTTGTGACAGAACTACTGTGGGAATATTGAAAGATACAGATTTCCCAACACATGTTTATGACAGACAAGATTATGATTTCTCTGAAGAGGTGGTCTATTGCTTATTTACATTGTTTTGCTTTTTGTATAACTTTATTGAGACATTTAAATTTTCCTAACTTTCACGATTCTGACAGGTGCATGAGCCTCCAATTAGAAATTTGGATTATACCAAAGAAAGAAATTTAAATAATAAGAAGTCTGTTTAGAGATGAATAATAAAAAATATGTCAACAATTTAATCTATTAAAATCATGTTTAAAAAGTGACAAATAACAATAACAAATAACATAACAAAATTACAATCCATTTCTTCTTAACTTCCCGTAAGGGTGAGACGGATCAACTCAATCATTTCTGGTACCGGTCAAAGTTGACCACAATCATATTCATTTTGAGCGGCCCCGTTCCTAAAGAAAAGAGCCATGGCGCCACCAAAAGCCATCTTTGCGAGCTTCGATGTGGCCGCCATGGAGGCGCCAATGAGATAAGTATGCATGGACAGCTGCGCCACCCGCATTCTCCTCTCCTTCACGTACTTCTCCAGAGCTTCCTCGATTCTCGCACTTCTTTCCTCCTTTTCGATCCCATCAACGTTATTCTTCACCGCCGCCGCCGATCCGAGGCATCGGGCGAGCACCACAGCGTCTTCTAGGGAGGAGCAGCCGCCTTGGCCGAGGAAAGGGCCCATCACGTGCATGGCGTCGCCGGCGACCGTCACCGTCCCTTTGCGTAGCCTCCCGAGGAGCAATTCCCCCGGCGGGCGGTATTTCAAGTGCGAAAAGGAAAGAGACTCCGGCTCCGACAAGTGTATTACCTCTTTCACCTTTGCCGGTAAATCTTGGAGCTTCTCTATGTTCTCTATCACCATTTGCTTAATTGCATTCTCATCACGTGGGAACTTTTCTCCTGCCCATTTAATTTCACAATTGCATGCTTAGAAGCTTTGAATGCATGTACAAAATATTATTGGAAAAAAAAAATGCATTTTTAGCTCATCAATTGTTTCTTGTTAGCGGTTTTAGTCCTCTACTTTTACCATTGTAATATACTGCAACCATTGAGGGACTAAAAATGCATTTTTTCCAATATTATTAACATAAGGTGATAGTATATATATAATTGTCCACTCATAAAATAAATCTTTGATAGAATTAATTTAACTTTTGGTCCCACTACATTTGAGGTGTTATTATTTCTGGTGCACAACTTTAAAATTTTTTAATTTTGGTGTCTAACTTTGTTATTTTTATCAGTTTTGGTTCTTTCGACTAAATTGACGGCGAAATGTTGAAGGATTTTATATTTTAAGGGCAAAATTGTCATCCCAAGGAAAGATATTCAATATCTAATTAAACAAAAGAAGAATCATATTAAGAGGAAAAGAAGGATTTGTCAATCGTCGACGCTATAAATATCATAGATCTGTGTCTAGTTTATGTCCGTCTTCCCCATTATTCTCATCGATCAAACACCTATAGATATGATTTTACATTGATTTTGTTTAGATATTGATGTTTCCTTGGGATGACGATTTTACCCCTAAAAATATAAAATCCAACAACATTCGCCATTAATTTGGCCGAAAAGGACCAAAACTGATAAAAATACAAAGTTAGGCACCAAAATTAAAAAAATTTAAGTTGTGCACCAAAAGTGATAGAACCTCAAAAGTCGTGGGATCAAAAGTGAAATTAATTCATCTTTGATACTACTAAACTATAGTATCTTTGATACCAATGTTAATAACTATCAGGTATAATATGACATCAGTGTTGATCAATATTGTAGAGCAAACTATATATATGTAGTGATTGAAAAATAATGTGTTTGAAGTGAAGTTAAAATAATTAAGATTTACCTAGCGGTGTTAGTTAAATTGTTGACTTGATAAACACAATGTTACAAGTCCGACTCTCAACAAGAGCGACCTGTTGATTTTCTTAGTTTGAGCCAATTAGTTATGGATTTATCCCGCGTACACCTTGAAATAGTGCAAGCTGCTGGTTTCCCTCGTCACCAAGAAAAAAAAAAAAGATTTACCTGTTAATTGGCGTGTGGGAAAGGTTACAAACCAATGGACCAAGTCATGAGAAATGGGAAGTATCCCAACTCTAACATCTCCTTTAAAATGGCGGTGAAATTCTATGGGCAATGAGTGAGCATTTGGATAGGTAGTCAAGCCCCTTGTTGCAACAACTCCAAACTCCTTTGCAGGCTTTAACCCCAACAACTCCGCAACTATTGACCTTCCTCCGTCACATCCAATTAGAATCTATCATTTAATTCGTTAGTTACAAAGCGATAATAAGTACTCAATTTATATACAAATCGATACCAATTAATTTCATCGCATCTTCATAAACTCTAAGATATTATAGGATTAAATTGAGAACTATTTTTTATGCATAGGTTTTATGTGAGACTGTTTTACGTGAGACACATAATAAATTTTAATTAATATGTAGTGTTTTTTTACAGGTCCATTGAAAAGTATTATATTTTGATTAAAGAGTATTACACACCTTATGTGAGACGATCTCACACAAGACTTATACTTTAACAAGATGGTGAAAACTTTCTTTTGCAATAGGGGCCTATAATAAGGCCTAGATTTTAGAAATTTTATACAAATTATTTAGTGAGTTTTTTTTTTTTTTTTTGTTTAATGACAGGAGAAATCCATAGTCATTATTTAAAGGTATGTATTAAGTAAACATTACTCATGCTTAATAAATCATGCGACAGAAGAAGTGTTGACAAAAATTAAACTTGTGATGTGTTGCCATAAGAATCATGTTTCATAAAAAGTCAACATAAATCTCAAAATAAAATAAAATAAAATAAAAAATTGAGACAAGATTTAAACAATACCTCAGCTTCAATGTAGCTCCCATTAGAAAGTAGAAGACGTGTGAATTTAGTAACAGAGTCATAGTCAACGGAAGAAACCTCACATCCAAACCGTATAGTCCCTGCCGGCAAGGCATCAGCTAAACTTCTTATAAGATCATTCCTTGCCATGCAACGAACGTCACCACTCCTAATAAAAGATTTTTTTTTTTTAGTACTGTTGACTCTATTATAAATTAGTATTTATTCTATACTTTCTCTATCTGCTGCAATTCAAAGAGTCAATACCCCTATCATCGAATTTGATCCTATGACTTTCCCTTAAAAAGAGTTTCAGAGGTGTCATTTGAGCATGAGTGCTTGGAAGGAGTTTAGTTACATTCATTTTTTTAAAATTAGTTTTTAAAGTATTATAACAACAATTTTCACGATTATTGAATCAAACGAGTTCATAATTAATTATGCTAATGGATCCCAAGTTATATTGTTATTTAATTTGCCAATAGGTATCGACTATTAAACTATAAATAAATGTATCATAATAGTGCAAGACGTTTATTGGTTCTTTGTGTTTCAGTAGGTGAGAAAGTATGAACAGATCAGATACTACATTGTAATTAGAGTAAGTAGCATAAAAAAAAAAAAAAAAAAAAAAAAAAAAAAAAAAAAAAAAAAAACTTACACGTATTCTATCTTTTGTTCTTTATCTTCGCCAAGAAATATATCTCGTCCCCTGAACACACAAAAAAAATTTCAATAAATGTATTAATAATACGATAAAAATAATATAATTGTTATGATATTATTAGGAATTTATGTTCTAATGGTTGGTTTACATTGAATTAAAATGGAATAAGTAATAATAGATAAAATTATTTACAAAATTGCAATTCCCAAGAGAGAATGTAAAATTATTAAGGAGGGGTAATTTAATCCTCACAACCCAAATTTTCTTTCGACATATCATGAAATTGTAATTAGGAGAAGTGGGATTTACAATTCCTCAAAATTAAAGAATTGCAACTCCTTACCGTTGGAGTGGAAGAGCCACAGTTCTAAGGTGGGACCCGATACCAAGTTGATCCAATGCCCTCCAACCATTTGGTAAGACCCCAATCCCTCCGCCTTCTGATCGCAGTATCTTCGATCTTTCTAACACTATACTTTTCAATCCTTTCCTACATGTATAATAATTTAATAAGGAAATATAATGTAAAGTCCGATCTTAGAAATTCTTTTTGTTTTTACCTAATGTACCCTTATCAACTGGCTAATCAAAGCAAGAAAAGAAAAGGAAAAACTTCAACCTCCTTAAAAACAATAGTAATTGGTTGTCACGTCACGTTAGTAAGAGCAACTAATTTAACCTCAATAGATCAAGTTTTTTCTTGGTTTTATTACTATGTCATATATATATATATATATATATATATATATATATATATATATATATATATATTGAATGCGCTGTATTACAATGTAATATTTGTTTATAACTACTTTATCAACCTACGGAAGTATAAAGAATCGATACTGCCTTTACTGAAGTTCGAATCCACAACTTTTTATATAGGAGTCTAACCTGGTGCCATTGGACCACAAGATCTTGGCAGATGAGCTTTGTATACATGATTATGTGAAGAGCTTTATATGTATTTTGAAGAATGGCAGATGAGCAATAGGGTATGTACCTGTGGAGGGCAAGGGCGGTGGCAAGGCCGCAAATGCCGCCGCCGACTATTACTATCTCATGCTTTGAATCTGTTGACTCCATCTCTCTCTTTCTCTTTCTCTCTCACTCTCTCCGTGAAGGAATGTAGAATATAATACAAATTATGGATATTTATACTATGCAATATGCATGTATCAATCATTCATATATAATATATATACAAATTAATAATAATTGTCAATATATAGGTTATTAAATGCATCTCAGGCTTAATTATTGCTCCTTATAGAAAATAAATTGAATTATTGACTCATTTTCTCTCCCCAAGTCAATATGCGAATGGAATTTTCATGAGATATTGATAATAGAAAAATTTTATAACGTCGCACATAAAAGTTATATTTTTAAAAACGGAAAGTGTGTAGTAATATTACTGTATTTGTAATTTTTATAAGTTAAATAAACAATTGAAGACACACATATTTATATTTTTAGTACAACATTTTTACGTACAATATTGTAGCATTTTTAACAATAACAATAACAATAACAATAACAATAATAATAATAATAATAATAATAATATCTGGTGCAATTGTAATCCATAGGAATTTTTTGTTGATGAGTGTACTCCACTTATGATAGATACTTGGGTTGTATTTAATAATCAGAAATAGCCTCAAATGTGATGATTAGTCCGGTTATAGATGATAAATAATTAAATAAACTAATTACAACTTAACACGTGAAAAGTGTATGTACATGTATATTTCAATGACAAAAAAAAAAAATAAAAAAAAATGCATGTGCTCTGATCTAGCAGTAAATCGGGCCAGACTAATTAATAAATAAATAAATAAACTAATTACAACTTAACAGTTAACACGTGAAAAGTATACATCTATATTTCAATGACAAAAATAATAATAATAATAATAATAATAATAATAATAATAATAATAATAATAATAATAATAAATCAAAATGCATGTGCCTCTGATCTAGCAGTAAATGGGGCCAGACTAATTAATAAGCTCCATTATGTAATTTAGGCAACATAAATATATGCCATCAAGTAATCCACTAGCAGAAAATGTCAGGAGTGTGTTCTTGTCTCAATAAATGGAGCCAGACTAATACTAATATTTTATATATTTTTAAATCTTTTAAATATATCTCAAAATCTTTTTTTATTATTAAAATATAGCTTCTAATTTGAATAATATTCTATGAGATTTGCAATCTTTTTTTATTATTAAATCATAGCTTCTAATTTTAATAATATTCTATGAGATTTGCAAAAATTCATTTGTAAGATTTGTTCATAATTAATTAATTAATTAATTAATTGTGTATGGTGAATAATGCATTTGATAAATTTATAATGGCCATTATTGTGTGATTGATATGGAGTATTAGATTATGAGGTTTATAATGTAAGTTAATTTGTGATTTATAATGTGTGTCATGTATAGTGATAAGTTTTAAAATTGATCAAATTGTTATGAAATATGTTAAATGATTACTTAGTGTTAGGTAAAAAGTAAATGTTTTTAGTCATATTTTGAATGTTTTAATTAATTGGAATTTTGCCCAAGCAATGCTTATTAAAGTTTTTTTTTTTGAAATATTATATTTATAATAATTTAATTAATTATAAAATATATATTTAGTGATAAACTTCCATGTCTTATATTTATTAAACGTTTATCATATTCATTTGTAATTTTAATTAATTTTATATGTTGTCCTGTTTGTGAATGCAGAGTAAAAAATTCTTATTTTGTTTTGAAATGCTGTAATTTTGTCTTTACTCAATTAAAATCCTGACTCTACCACTAAATATTATGTTGCATATGACAATCACAAAGCTGCCCTTTGTGTTTTGTTCTTTGTTGATACAATTTCAATTCAGTGCTAAATTTAAATTTTCAATCAGCTTTTAAATCCCATTTCTAAAATTTCATTTGATATGATATGATATTTAACTTATGGATAGTGCTAATAATATTTATATCCATGGCCATGCTTAAATTCAAAGTAAAAGTTGGTAAGTAGAGATCACTTGTAACTTACATAACCATCAATTATATAAATGTTGATGATGGCATGCACGAGCGGATGATAATATTTTGATCTTTGTTTTTTCTTGTTTAGAAAAGTGAACATCACACTCTTTTAACACTTTTACTTTCGATCTTATTAATGACACCTTTGTGATTAACTTTGTAGAGCAACAGAAGTTGACTGATATAATCTTCTTTGTATTTCAAAAGGAACAATTAGTTCATTTAGAAGAGATATTAATCACACGTTAACTCAATTGCACCATCAGCTAGAGCTTTGCACTTTGCTTCAGTTGACGACCTAGCAATCGTCTTTTGCTTCCTACAAGCCCATGGGACGAGATTGGAGCCAAGAAAACTAATGTAGCCACTCATTGATTTACAATCATCATGACACCCGACCCAGTCAATATCAATATACACATGAATATCCATGGAGGCAAATTTACTAAAACGAAAACCACAATTAAGAGTACCTTTAACATATCAAAGCAATCTCTTCATTAAAAGTCAATTATCTTTAGTAGGAGCATGCATATGTTCACATAGTTTATTAACTACAAAACTAATATCAATCAAAGTAAGATTCTGCAAAAAAAAAAAAAAAAAAAAAAAAAAAAAAAAAAAGGTGTAAGACTTTGCAAGGCGCCTATCATTTGACGATAGTGGGTAGGATCATCAAACAAGGTACCAGTGGCTTAAACATACGTTGAAGCTACAGTAAGTAGTGTTTTTGTGGTTTTGCAATCATGTATACCCGCACACTGCAGAATGTAATTCATGTACTTCTTCTAAGATAGAATCAAGTGTACATGGTCATGTAAGACCTCAATGTCTAAAAATAATTTAAGTCACCAAGACTTCAAATCTTGAAGGTGTATGCAGGCTTGAAGATAATAGAATTTAAGAGCATATAAATATATAATTACTACCAATGATTAAAATATCATCAACATACACAAGCAAATATATAAATTCATCATTGGGCGAATAGATGAACAAAGAGAAATATGCCTTGGATGCTTGAAAACTAATGGCAAGGATATAATCACGCAAGCGTTTGAACCAAGCACGATGTGCTAGCTTTAGGCCATATAAGGAATGCTGCAACTTGCATTCATAAATAGGAAACAATTTATCAGCATAGCCAGAGGATTGTTTCATTTAAACAACCTCATCAAGATTGACATTCAAGAAGACATTATGAACATTCAAATGTTGATTTGACTAGCCATGAGATACAATAAGCTAAGGCTAATCATTAGCCAAATAGTAGTGGGATTCACAATAGGGATGAAACTGTTAGTGTATAGTAGTCATCACCTTCAACTTGATTAAATCATTTGGTCACAAGTCGTGCCTTATGGCACTCGATAATCCGATTTGTCGTCCATTTAACATGGAAAAAAAAAACACTTGCAACCAATGATGTTTTGAGGTTGAGCTAGAGTAACCAAGGATCAAGTTTGATTATGAACCAGAACATTGAATTCTTGGTCCATTGCAGCCATTCGGGGAGCTTGATTGCTTTTGTATAACAAGTAGGGTCACTCGTACAGGACTCTATAGAGGTGCTAGCAACCAAAGATATATGACATTTGTCTTGTCCCCGAATACGGCGAGGTTTGGATTGGCAAGAGGAGCCTATGAAACAGATTCTAGTGTAGTGAAATTAGCATGCAGAGGAAGTGGATCTGACACAAGCTCAGGTGCTACGGGCATTGGCAAAAGAATTAGAGCATATCCGATAGTGTTTATGAAACATGTTTTGAAGTAGTAGGCAGAAGCTATGGCTGTTTCTGCAATAGTACAAGAGGTTTTGGCCTCAATGAACACTCAACCTAAGGTCGTGGTAAAACATTAGAATCTGCATTAGTGACCTACGTAGGCTGTTTAGACAAAGAAAATCATATCTCATCAAAACGCACATATTGGGCTATGACAACTTTTTAGTTGTTAGATTCAAACATATATACCCACCCAAGGAGGGAGATTAGCCTTAGAAGACACAGGAGACAGACACTACTGGAAATTATGAAATTTTCGTCCACCTGAAAGTGATATTAAATCAAATTGAAAGCAAAAAGTTGTCGGAAATAGCAGCAAAGGTTTTTCCGGATACCAAAAGTGGTCGGAAACAAGGCTTTCAACTTGATTTAAGATCACTTTCAGATGGTCGGAAATTTCAGAATTTCCAGTAGTGAGACCGAAATCCCATTTTGTGGTAGTCATACAATCGTAGGAAGGGAAAGTAGAGAAAACCAAAGGTTCTTAAATGGAGTAATATGGATGATTATCAAACAGCATTAAGGTCAGTATTTGGGTGAAGGGAACTACAAGCAAGCAATGGCAAGCCCATCTCAAGAATGTGATGGTAAGGTTGTTCTACTCCACCATTTTGAGTGTGGGTATATATGTGGAAAAGATTGTCTGTAAACTATCCCTAAAGTAGAGAAGAAAGTATCTAACTCATGGTATTCACCACCCCAAAATTGTCTTTCAACAAGGGCTTTGAACTTTGTGAAGATAAAGTATGTTAGTTGGTCTTGCGTCTTAATTATAGTCTTGCTTTTGGTGATAACAAATTAATTAATCTAATTAGTTGGCAAGTATTTTTCTAATTGTAGAAATTAAATTGAAGAATTTCACTCTCGATGATCAATCATTCAAGAGTTCTATATTTGAAGATTATATAGCAATCTCTCAAGATTTTGAGTTGGGAGGAAGAAAATCTAAAGAGCTAGGATTTATTTATACAAGGTTAAAACTATTGTTATTCTTTTTGTAAGCTCAAAAGTTTGAAGGAAAAGGGTCAAATAGATCCATGACTTTTATACAAAAGTGCAACTTTAAAAAGTTCAATTAAACATTTAAACTTATCATTTTGGTGCATCCAAACCCAATAACCGATTATCCCGATTATCCACTGGGATAACTGGTCTTTCCGACGATCATTCCAGCAGCCGACAAACCATTCCCAGCGGCCGGCGAACGGTCTCCGGCCGCAATTACAATTGAAGAAGGTCGATCACCTTCTCCGGTGGAGAAGACGACATGAATGACGCCTTCTCAACTGAAGAAGGCGACCAGACGGCGTCTTCTCCAACTAGAGAATGAGACCGGAATGGCGCCTTCTCCAACTGGAGAAGGCGACCAGATCGCCACCTTCTCCAACTAGAGAATGCGACCAAAACGTCGCCTTCTTCAATTGGAGAAGGCTCAACGGTAGAAGGCGTCGATCACCTTCTCTAGTTGGAGAAGCCAGCCGAAATGGTGCCTTCTCCAACTGGAGAAGGCGAACAAACCGCAACCTTCTCCAACTAGAGAAGGCGCCAAACACCTTCTCTAGTTGGAAAATGCAATCGGAATGACGCCTTTTTCAACTGGAGAAGGTGACCAGACCGCCGCCTTCTATAGAAGGCGACCAGAACGCTGCCTTCTCCAACTGGAAAGGCGACCAAACCGCCGCCTTTTCCAACTAGAGAAGGTGCCGTTCACCTTCTCCAGTTGGAGAAAGCAGCCGGAATGGCGCCTTCTCTTACTTGAGAAGGCGACCAGATCGCCTTTGCCTTCTCCAATAAGTTACTTATAGATGGCCGCCTTTTCCAGGTGGAGAAGGCGCCGGTCACCCTCTCTCAACGGCTGTTAATAGTGGTCAACATCTGATACTTTACCGGTAACTTATTGGTTACCGATAAATATGATTTATTTGACTAATTTTGACAAGTTGAAGTGTTTAATTGCACCTTTTTAAAGTTAAAAGACTTAATTACATTTTCATGTAAAGTTTAAAGGTGTATTTGATTCTTTTCCCAAAATTTGATATCCTTCTTCTAAACTTCCTTCTAGTATTCTATCAAAAAAGTTTTTATTTATTTGTCAAAATGAGTTTTCAATCAAATGTCTCAAAATGATATTTCCTTGTTTTAATATAAGTGTTTCAAAATATTTTTTGGGCCAAATTGTTTCAAAATCCTTTTTAAAATATATTTGTTAAGTCAAAATATTTTTAATTTTTGGTAAAAAAAATTATTTTATTTCCAAGCATTTCCTTTCATGGGTTATGTATAGGGCTCTTCAATCTTTTTCAAGACCTGCTAAACTAAATCTAGTGGGCTCTTCAAAGGGTTCTGAAGAATCCATTATAGAACCCTCAAGAAGGCAAGGGGTTATGCATAGGGATCTGGAGAACCGTTGTAGAACCCTCAAAAAGAAGAAGGGTCTCATTTAGGCTCGACACAACCCTTCCAATAACCATTAGTTTGGAAAACTAGTCATTTATAGTTGTAGTACTCCCTGCCGTATATATATCTCTCCTCTCTCATGGCAGAATAAATTGAAAGACCATCTCCTCCAAATTTCAAATCTTCCAATCTTCCAATCTTCATTTTTAGCATATATATTTGAATGTTTGAATTAAGAAAACCATATTCTTCATCTTTTTCATATCCAACAAAGACTTTCTTCCATTTGTGCAATAAGTTATATGCTTTTAATCCTTCACTAATATTTCAAAGCTTCCTGTACACGCTTAAAAATAAGTTCTTACACTCTTTACCATCCTAAAATCTTTCTAAGTCTAAGTTTGAGTCTTAATTGAGTTTCAAGTGTTATATACATATTCTCAATCTTCTAGTGATTAATTTGTATACACTACTAGTCTAATCGAGAGACAAAGTAAAAAGTGTATGTAATTTGCCATCTTTGTTATGGTGTAAACACTTGGGTGTGTAAGAGGTGATTTTGCCCAACACGAAGGGTAGCTATGGTTTATAGTGGCACCTTGCCAACAGAAAGGGTGAATTTGTTGTACCTTGTGCTACAAAGGGATGGAAGTCGTAGAAGTTCCATCGGGGATGATGGTGTGCAAGGGACCCATGGGACAAGGGATCGGTGTCTTGTCTCATCCTAAGCTACGAAAGGTCGATGTTCGTAGAAGTGCTATCACTATGGGGGGTTAGTGCAACGTTGTGGTGCCCACCAAGGTGTCAAAGCAGCCAAAAGAGTAGAGTGATAAATCCTAAGGGAGGTGCCCTTAGGTAGCATAATAGGCTCTACCTAACCACTCTAAAATTAGTATACTTCTTTCTTTTATCTTTTTATTCGTTGCATTTTTTATTATCAATTACCCACACTTAGGACTAAATGGAAAATGTATAAATGAAAAGGCCACCTAGTTATACGAAGCTTCTAAATTTCATTCTTCCAAAAGGCTGAACCCCAACCCTAAGGGCGCCCCACATCCCGACCCGACAGAGCGGTGGGAGGTTGTAAATCATGGTGACTCAACTGAACATTAATCACAGAGGCTAGACCGGTGCTCACTGCGCACAAGGAGCCCCCCTCACTTTGAGGGAGCCCCCCTCACTGCCACTGGTGAGACTCAATCCCTGATCATTCTTCCAAAGTTTCACCTCTATGACCAGTTGAGCTACCCATGCGAGCGAGCTTCTAAATTTCATTGTTCTATGCTTTGATGTTGTCTTATTCATATTTAACTTGACTTGATTATTTATAAATTTAATGTGTTGATCAATTGCTTATACATGATTCTTATTTATTTTTATTTTTTTAAAAAAAAAAACTATTTGATCACCTAGAATTTCATCAAATATAATTAATGAATTTAATCACTTAAGATAAATCGACACAATAATTTTATAGCCTAATTCCCTCCCCTCTTAGGATAAATCGGGACTTTCAGAGTAATCATCTACAAATATAACAAAATAACGCAACCCCTCTAGTGAGATAAAGTGAGAAAGACTCCGTAAATCAATATGAATATGATCTAAAGTTTTATGACTATAAGAAGAAACACATGGCAAAGAGAATCGAGATGATTTTCCAAGATGACATGAAGTGCATAAGGAATCTGAAGACTTGGAGGAACCAACCACATGACACTTTTGCAAAATAAGATCTATAACACAAACGATCATGCCAAACTTGAGAGGATGTATTAGCTGAAAGAGGAACAACAAGACACTAGGACGGAATCTGTATAGACCCCCCGAGCTAATACTCTTGACGATGACCTCCTTGGTGATCTAATCCTTCACAAGAAAAAAGGAATGGTGAAACTCAAAGAATATATTATTGTTAGTAGCAAAAGGCTGATCGGATAAAGAGGAGTGGCGTGATTAGTTGAGGAACATGAAAGAACACTATTTAAGGACAAGAGACAATTAGAAGAAGGTATAAATGTAGAACCAACGTGAGAAATTGCCAAACTTGTACCGTTGTCAACTCGGAAAGTTTCAGATCCATTGTATGACTTAAACTGCGTCAGGGGACTCCCTTCCTAAAATAATGCATAACATTCACAAATAATAATATCAGGATTCTTTTTTCTTTTTTTTTTGAATGCTATAATATCAGGATTCTAAATGCACACAAAATTACTCGTTCATCCCTCCATAAATATTTGTAAATAAATAATCCAGCAAATCTTAAAAAATATGACCAATTGACCATACACGAACCCGATATCCCATATATATATTATAATGACTCAAACCATTTATATACATATTACATAACATTTATGTTCCTATTCTAACACAGTTCAATTAATACTTAACAAAGGAGAAGTCAAAATTGCTTATCATCTAGAAAGTGGATCTTAAGTAATGCTCCAAAAACAAATAGAAAAGTGGGTTTGTTTCACTCAATATAAATAAGGTAGCCACCATTCTTAGATTTACAAACCACAGCCTTAGATTTACAAACAATACAAGCCTATAAGAGAAAGTGTTACTAAAATACATGACAAATTAAACATATAATTACACTCTAGGCTAGCAGAATCAATCAATCTCTATAAACTTTAGAGAATAAATAGATTTAGAATGGGCTACAAACAAGAAATATCATGCACATCTAGAAGAAAGGAAAAGATCCTCGATCTGCTAATACCACAGGAAGATGATCTAAACATACTCAACTTTCTTCAAGCTGCAAAATTTAATGGAACTGAAGCTAATATAGATGTCCATGTAAGCGGGAAAAAAAATTAGTCATATACGATGCTCTGACCAATTATCCAGATTATTTTCCTTACTTAAAATGATCCTGCTGAATTATTGCAACAAATTCGTGATGCAAATCATCATCTTTCTGCTTCCATATCTCACCATTGGCATGAACTAGCCATGAAATCTGAGGAGAAAGTTGAGTGTACAAATCTGCAAGCAATCAAAGTAATAACAAATCATTAATTGCTGAATGATGATTCCCTAAAAGTTCAGTTGCACTAACAGCAGCATATTTAACTTGACCATGAGAAGTACAGGCGCCTATGTCATAATTCGAGTGGGCTGGGTTTCCTATTCCTAGTAGGATTGGTTTAACGGCTTTAACCCGATGTTCTTATAGGATCTATATACAATTCAAAATACAAAATAGAATCATATATTTTATCTATTCTCTCTTTCTTGGTTTCTCACATATTTTGCTTCTACCCAACTAGTAGATGGTGGCTATTCACCACCAGCCAAGCCTTTCAATGCGTCAATTTGAACATGGTATCAAAGCATGTGTCCTAGACTATTTGTCTCTCTATCACTATGGGTCATATGTGTCTCTGAGCAGCTCTTGCCTAGTTTTGCCTCTACTGCTTGAAGATTTTTTGGTGTTAATCCTAGAGTGTTTGTGTTGCCATGCTGTTTTGAGGTTGTTCGTGTTTGGTTCCATCCTTGGAGCTTTATCTTCATTCCTAAGGGTTGTGCATAGTGTTGTGTCTTCCAAAGCCACCCGGCATTGTTATCCCCAAGCTGCATTTAATCTTCATTTGTAATTTTGAGCTAAGTAGTGTTCGGCTTTTTAATTCAAGCTTGAAACTTCCAGATGTTCTAGCTTGAGGGTGAGTGTTGAATAATAGGAAACCTTAGTCCTATTCTTAGAAGGGATGGGCTTTGTTTCCTATTACTAGTAGGATTGATTTAACCCTAAGTTCTTAAAAATATAGAATCTTTATACAATTCAATATCAATATACAAAAACACAAAAGATACAATCTATTATTATCAATAAAATCATATATTTTTTCTATTCTCTCTTTCTTTGGTTTCTCACAGATTTTGTTCCCACCAGGCCTTTCAATCCCTTAATTTCAACACTATAAAACAAAAACAATAATAGTAAACACCTACAATTAAGGCCCAAGGGTGTCACTTTTTTGAAGTACCTGTAACCACTCATATTTCAGAAAATATGGATAGTGAATAAAACATGAGCACCCTTATTTGACCTGTATAACATTATGGGTTTATAGGACGATTCATGGATACTAATAACATCCACTTATTTGTTTTACAGTGTGCAATAACTTGGGGAATCAATGATCAGCAATATTAAAATTAGTTACTAAGAAAATATATAATAGAAAAGCATGTGGGCACAAAGTGGAATCCAAATCACACATGCCCAATTTTTACACATATACTTGGTCTCTAAGAGAAACCCCCCCACACCCCCTTCCCGGAGTTTTCATTTTAACAAATCCCCTAATTTTGAAGAGCCATTATTGCAGGCCAGCCTTTATATCAGAATGTACAAAAGAGAAAGATATATGTTCTGCCATGCCACATCTAAGCAGTTCTTGACCACTGATAATTTCTGCTTCAATTTCAGGATTTACGAATAAACTTCTTATATGATTCACTATTCACTAAATCAGAAAAAATACGCAACCATGTTGAAAGAGGATCGTATTCTTGTTATTTATTTTCATATTTCCCCTCTTTTAGAACAACAATACAAGATATGTAACATATAGGTGAATATCTATATACCTGAACCAGGAGAGGGGTCTGGATCTCTAGTGCTGTGAAGAACCATTGTACCAGAAAGAACAGTTAAAAACCCACAAAGAACTGACACAATATCACTAGCACTTTGACCAGACCAGTCCTGAAAAAGAAGTAAATGACAGCAGTAATTAAGGAGACTTTTATAGGTTCTAGGTTCCCGGAGTCCAGGTATCAATGTTCAAAATGTACCTTAAACATTATGGCACTGGCTACAATTGTGAGAGTTGTGAACATTGCATAATAGATTGGAGAAACAACAGCTGTGTTAAATGTGTCCAGAGCCTGAAGAAGATAAAAAAACACGGTCATCAATTCTGAAAACAGTTAAAGTTTCAAGTACATTTAACTAACAATCTAAAGCTTAAATCCCCCCCCCCCCCCCCCCCCAAGACACCCAGCATAGGATGGAGGATCCACAATCCAAACTGAGTATTCTGAAAATAAAACAGTACTAGGTTTTTTTTATAACAGACTGACATCGATTATTAATTTTTATCGCTGTTATCACCTCAAATCTTTCCGATATCATTATTATATGGTGAAAAGGGAAGAGAAAAACAAAAAATAAAAAATAAAAAATAAAAAATAAAAAATAAAATTAGAGGATCAACAAACTGACCTTATTTAAGTAATTGAGCTGAATAACTATACATGTAACTGAAACTGTTACAAAAACCCACGTTTGGAGGTGTGCAACTTGACTTGAACCCTCCAGCGTAAGCTTTATAGCAATGCCAATTGCTTTAATGCTCATTACCTGAAATAGAGCAATAATTCAATTTTCTTTTCTTTTCTTTTCTTTTTTTAATTATTGTTTTTCTATAAATAGCACTAAGTTAAATTTATATCAACCCAGAGAGATTGTAATACTAAGCATATAATCTAAATCAATTTCCCTTCATAAGCAACATCACCATTTAGTTCAGTTCAAATTGGAAGCCCTCATTTCATTTTAGGCCACTCCTGTACCTCTCAAAAGCACTGTCATGAATAATGCCTTCATCTTCATAAAATGGATAAGTTTTAAAAAAATTACTTGTAACATTATAAACCAAAAGGATAAGAGGGGATTGCCATATACTTCCCATCATCTACAGAAATGAAAAAGTAAATCTAGTTCATACACTAGGGACAAACTTTAAAATTCATTTAAAAATTAATAGAATTAAAGAGGTAAGCTTTTACTTGAAAAGTGATTAAAAGTCAAACCATTACTAACATGGTAGAAATGTAGAATATGATCAATGTAAACTAGTTGACATCCAGATGTAGATATCTAGTTGCTTAACTTTGAAGACTAACAAAATAATGGAGAGCATTTATATATGCTTTGGAGTTTGGAACAGAACATGATGACTTTCTCTATTGCACCAGGCCTTCCATGTGCAGCTCTATTATTAAATAAACAACTTCTTCTCCCAGACTCCCTCTTTTTTTTTTTTTAGTATGACTAATAACTAAATACAAGGGCAGTGAACCATCTTCACACATGAAAAAGCCCTTATAACACATTTTAGACAATCCTATAGGAGGATCAAATATTCAAATATGCAATTATGAGAAATACTTAATTATTTATAAAACATTAGCGAATTAGCCTTTCATAATCATTAAGGTAGAAAAAACAATAAAACCCCATAAAAAGGCTATTGATGAAATAGCTTTGCAGCATAGGTCATCCAGCCTCTTGTTACATCTTTTAGTTATAATTATCCTAATTTAAAGTATGTACATCATGCATTATCAAGATGCCAATAAAAAATTAAATCTAGCCACAAACATCAGACTCAAGCTCTGTATGCAGAATAATAACAAGAACCATTCTCAAGAAAAGGTGACTAACAAGAAAATTAGCACCAACACTCCTGCAGTCTCTCATCAGTTGCACAGTATCCTCCACATTTTGCTATTAAAATTATGGTTTCCTTAAGAATTAATACCAACTTTTAGTCTCTTAACTATGGTGACGTTTCCACTTTTGATCCTCAACTATCAATAAAGTTTAGTCCCAAATGCCCTCATATGAAGGAGAGTGATGTTTGGTACATTTCAGACATTTGAACTGAATTTTGTCAATCTAAAAGAGTCAAGGGACCAAAAGTGAAAACGCAACTGCAGATTTTGGGAGAAGTCTACAAAACCCTGAAGAGTATAATATCTTGCAACTGTTTAAAAGTAGTATCATTATCATACTAAAAGATCTTTTCAAGATTATATAAACACTAACCGTCAATGATCCAATTATGGAACAAATTCCAATATAAACCATAATATTTGTCTGTCCATAGCGTGGCTCACAATACAACACCAGTACCAATGCTATTGCTATTGCTGCTGCAATGTACAAAAGAAAAGCTGCACAAAAGAAAGTGAGACGTTATTAAGAAATACGGAGTATGTAATTTATATTACTGACATAAGAGGATGGCAGAAAATAAAAACCAGTGTACCTGGCTGGATTGCTAAACCCCAAATTTCGTCCACAGAACTAATGCTATGTTCTCCAGGAGCATGAAGAACAATGACTGTAGAACCAACTACACATAAAATGCATCCTATTACTCCCAATTTCCGCAATTTTTCCTTCAGTAAGAAATGAGCTAGAACAGCACTGAGAAAGATGAAAAGGGCACCTAATTATTTACTTGAAGTACATATGGGCATTATCCATATAGTAAAAAGGTGAAAAAGTGAAATACATAATTACCTAACTATTATACTCAAAGCTCCCAGCGGTGTCACAAGCACAGCGGGCGCATAAATATAAGCTATGAAGTTGGCAAATTCTCCAACAATCACTGCAAAAGTTTGAAGGTATTTAAGGTGGCTTTAATATACATTCCACTCTCAGAAACACACAATCAACTTGCAGAAACAAACTTACTGGTGACCATGCCAATCCACCAGAGTGGCTCACATAGATAACCATACCCTCCTGAACCTGCAACGATGAATAAATAGCCACCAAAAGAAAATAAAATAAATAGCACAAAAAGACTGCAATATAAAGAATATGCAAATTAATGTGTATACACCAATAACTTGAATATAGATTCTGCCTAGATTATTCTATTTAAATAGCTCATTTCTTCAATAAACTATGGTTTTTGATATTAAGTCTTCGTATTATAAGGAAAACTGGGTATGCTATAAGTTTATGTGTTATTTGTGTCAATGCAATTTCTAAGACTCATGCAAAGTACATATGAACCTTTAAACTAAATTACATGTCCTAGTTATATGCAGATAGTTAACTGTCCATATATCAGTAGGATAAAGCAAAAATATTAATGTTCTACGCATTCAACTCCCTCATGACTCATGAGTTGTGATTCCACAAAGTTAACTTCTCAAAGTTCTCCCTTATAGTATGTTTATGAAAATAACAACATGAAGACTGATGTCTCAATAGAAGTGACAAATAACATAGAAAAAGAAAAAATAATTCTTATAGAATAATAATAATAACAACAACAATTAAATGTTTGACCTGACATCATACTGTATCCTTTAGTAAGGGAGAATGAAACTAATTGAACAGCAGTTACAAATAATGACACCCTGTTTCAAACTATGATTAACATAAACTAGGATTACAATATTTCGTAATCCAACCCTATTTACCACTCAAAATCCACTTCATTTTGATTATTAAAAAAGAGGGTTGGGGAGTACTTCATAGTTGAAAAGCAATAGAATAAAAAGGGAAAAAAATGAAGACATTAGTTTTAGAAAGGACCATTAGTGCAGCATAGACTTAAATAAATTTGTAGTAAGGGAAGTGTTAGTTTTCATATGATGAGTATTTAAAAACTACAGTATTTCATTTTATAAAATTAATTAACTTTGAGAACTTTATGTTAAAATTTAGAAATCAAACAAAAAATGAAATTTTCAAATAAATTAGTTCCCTTATGGTTGACATCAAAACATGTAGCTTCAATAAACCCATATACATATACATATACAGCCAGTCAAGGAAGTCAAAACTATTGAGATCTCCTTGAAACTACATTTCTCCCAACAGATTATTTCGCACATGAAAAAAAATAAAAAAGAGTAACGTTTTAGCAATTAAAAATAGAACAAGTAATATTATCCTTGGCAGCCAACACAAGCTCATCACCCCATTCCAAATCAATTTTCTTAAACATTTGAGAAATCTTTACCTAATGCATCTAGACGGCACATTTAATTACAACAAAAAGAAAAGAAAAATGAAAAGCATCCATGTTGAAAACTTGTAAAATATGCACTGGACATATGCATGTATTAATAGATGCAGGAATGAAAAACATTTTACTCTAGAAATGATGAAGAACCATAACATTCTAAAATTTTAAACCTCAGGGTTTCATGTAGATATCAATGATCTATAAAATCCAGGGTGCCAACAGTCAGTGTAACTGTTCCTAATGCAGAGTTGCAGACCTTACTACAATTCTATGATTGAATACTTTACTCACATTATGCACAGTGTCCCAATTTTGAATAAACACTCTAAAAATACTAGAACTTTTTGCCCAGCTTATTTGAAGCTAAGTTGGAAAAACAATAAATGAGGGGGGAAAAGGCTTTAGGTACTTCAAACTAGACAAGAGGCAAAATCTATTCTTCAATATGCTTCAAAGTTGAAGCTTTTATAAAAAGAAATGTCTCTTTTTGAAGATACTCCAAGTGGTCAAACAATCACTTAGGTTAATATGTAAAAAATCACAATGCTACGAATTAACAGACCAATTCACTAAATACATAACAGAATTGAGCTCTTAAGAAAGATACAAATTATGAATTCCATATTGACTCAACAAATCCTAGTTCATCCTTTATTCCAGCAAAGGCTAACACAAATCTCATACTATCGCGCAAAATTACAATGCTAAATACAAAAAATACACAAACAATTCGGAAATGAAGACGCATTTGCGTCGATAAATTGCACGTACTAGCTCGAGTTCCGCAGGCGCCGGCTCTCTGGAGTCCCTTCTTCTTGATGATGAAGCTGGATCCAATGAAGGCACTGGATGCCATGGCCAATCCGAACCCTATCAAATTATCAGTGATCATGATAGAGACGTTTCTAAGGTTCTTCTACAACCAATCGAGGATTTAATTCTCATCTGAAATGCCAAGAATGTGGATTCAGAACCCTAGCGCTACTCGATTTTCTCAAGAAAAATAGAAAATCTGAGCAAGAAAAGTATAAATAAAAAACAAAAAGAAAGGGGCCAACTGCGTTTTTCAGAATATTTTACAAAAAAAATTGTTTGTTTTGAAGATGAATGTGGTGAAAGAGGACGCACGAGGCAGATGGGTGTAGAGCTGCCAGTTCAAAGCTCGTGGCAGATGTGTATTTATATGTTTGATTTTCTCATCTCAGCGAGGGAGATCCCCACTTCGCCAGCACTGGCTATAATAATACGGAGTATAATAATAATAAGAGTTCTAATACATGAACTCCTTAATTTTACTTTTTAAATTTTAATACTTGAAGTGGTGGATTCTGATAAGTTAATTTTTTATGTGAATCCCAATACAAGTGTTTACATCGATATTTTGTGTGTGAGAGTATAAGTTGAGAGTACAAAAAAGGAGTACATATAACATTTTTCTAATAATAAAGAGCATGCTGCTCAGAATTTACCTCTATGGTAGTTTTAAAGGTAAATCTATTAACTTATGATTAGTCCGATAAAATTATGATCATCTAATTAATAATAATAATAATAATAAATGTCAAATAAACTTCTAAACTTTATTTTAAAAAATTAATTAGGTTATCAAACTTTCAAAAGTTGTAACTAAATCCATAAATATGTTATTTTAAAACATTGAAACTTAGAAATCAATTAGTGACCTATAATTACAGGTCACTAGGGTTTCGGGGATCCTGCGACTAGCCTCCGACCAAATTCCGACATCAAACACTGGCAACCAAACGATTACTGGTCGCATTTGGAGAAGGCAGACCAACTGGTCGCCTTCTCCTTCATTAGAGGAGGCAACCAGTTTGGTCTCCTTCTCCTTCGTTAGAGAATCGACCAAACTAGTCGCCTCTCCTTCACCAGAGAAGGTGACTAGTATGGTCTCCTTCTCCAAACTCGACGGGTGACCGTTCGCTTGTCGACCGCTGATGTTTGATGCTGAAATTTGGTAAGAAGTTTGTCGGAGGGTCAGAGGGAACCCTAGTGACCTGTAATTACATGTCATCAATCGATTTTTGTGCTTCAATATTTTAAAATAACATGTTTATGGTTTAATTGACTTTTTGAGTAAAATTTATAGATCTTTTTGACCATTTTGTCTAATAATAATAATAATAATAATAATAATAATAATAATAATAATAATAATAATAATAATATAATATAATATAATATAAATATAATAAGTGTCAATGAAGGTAAGGGTATAACCAAAATAAAAAATGTGTTTGTGTAATAATGTGAATTGTTAACTTGTATAATTTAATATATTAATTGTACAATAATAAGACAGTTTTAAAAATAATAATAATAAAATTGATTTAAAAAATATATATGTAACAAAAAAAAAAAAAACACACACAAAAATATGAGGATTGCTTTTCTTTCCAATATAAACATGATATGATATTCTTAATATGAAGCAAAGGGAAAAGGTACAAATAGGTCATTGAGTTATTTGGGGTAGCAATTAAGTCACAGAATTCGAATAAGCTCCAAATTGATCCATGAATTTAGGAAAAAAATGCAATTAGCATTTTTAACAAGTTAACAACAAGTTTTTGCTGAATAGAATGCCATGTGTATTTTTTATTTTTTATTTTATTATTATTATTATTATTATTATTATTATTATTATTATTATTATTATTATTATTATTATTATTATTCTACTAAGCATTTGACTCTAAAAAATAAAATAAAAAATACACATGGCATTAAAAAAAAAAAAAAAAACAAAACAAAACTTATGTAAACTGCTCTCTCCTTCGAAACCTCTCTACCTCTCTGCCCTCTCGAACCTTGCTTCTCGTTGTTCTTTCGTAGTGTGGCTGCAGGCCTATGGCCGACGGTCTCATACTTCCTTTGTATTTTGTTTTTTAGTTTCACAACTTCCACCACCTCCGGCCGCTACCTTGCATCAGCACCTCTTGCCGTAATAACAACGCCAACTCCAAATCTAATCCAGAAGACCCTCACCATTGTCAACGCTTATGTTTTTAGAAAAGGGAAAAGAAGAATTTGTGTCAGTGTTCTTTTCTTGAAAATAGGTAACGAAGCCTTTGAGTTCTGAAAAAGGAAAAGAAGTTTTGTGCGAGGGCGTGGAATTAGCTCTTTATTTTCAAAAAAAAAAAAAAATACACATGGAATCCTAATCAGCAAAAATTTGTTGTTAACCTGCTAAAAATATTAATTGTACTTTTTTTTCAGGTTCATGGATCAATTTGGAGCTTATTCAAGTTCGATGGCTTAATTGCGGAAAATTATAGCGTGCACCAGGGCGCACAATGCATTGTGTCATTTTGTATCTATTTTTTTTTAGAAATTCTGTTTCACGTGTCTGCTGTTAACTTCTAAAAAAAAAAAAAAAAAAAAAAAAAAACTCATGTTTTGAATGTGCATAATTGTATAATATAATGTACATAATTGTATAATAAACATAATAGACTGTACATAATACACATAATCTTTTTTGAAAATAATACACACAATCTAACATAATACATAATACACGTAAACTCTTAACATAATACACATAAACTCTTAACTCTTAAAAAAAATCCCTTGTTTTGAATGTACATAATTGTATAATAAAATGTACATAATTGTATAATAGAATACACATCAATTCCGTCCGTCAACTTCCCATACAACTTAACAAAACGACCTTGTTTTGGGCAGGACGGGGCACACAATACATTGTGTGCCCTGGTGCACGATATAACGATTGATTGTCCCCCAAATAATTCAATGGCCTATTTGTATATTTTTCCTAAAACAAATATTACGTTAGTAATTAATTACTTTGATATAATATAGATTTGGTCATTTGTGTTCTTTATTTATTAACTTTTGTAAAATTATTTTAATACAATAATACTTTATAACATTGAGCATTAGTTTAATTTTTTTTTTTTTTTTTTTTTGTCTAAACGGTATAAAAACTAGTTTGTTAAAATATATGAGTACGTGTCCCAGTAATGTACAAATTTAATGTACATAGTTTAGATTAAAAATAGTTATGTATGATTTGATATAAATAATCAATATATAGTATCCATATATAATTTTGTAAATGCATATTTTATTATGTAAATATTAGTTGGATTTTTAAATTATTTTATGACTAAGATATATAGTTATTGTGTAGTGTTTGCCATTTAGATTTCAATATGATACAAAATTTGAAAAAAAAAAAAAAAAAAACATATAAGCTAGTCAAAGCCGTGTGTATTTATTATATTATTATATTATATACTCTAATGTGATAAACCCGAAGTGCCAAACCTTAATGGACAAGTATTGTTAACCTTATTTTTGTTTTGGGTTAAGGAAAATAATTTTTTTTTTTTTTAAAAAGGGTGAAATATTAACTTCATTTTGACACTCCAACATGGGAATACAAGATATGTTCCAAGTTTGCATTTGATTTACAAACTGACCATTATGTATATATCAGTAGTTACGTTATATCATGAATCATGATACATTATGCGCATTATGAATCATATTTAAATTATTTATATGTCTTTAATATATTATTACTTTGAATTAATATATTATATACCTATTCCGATTAACGTATTATGTATATACATTAACATAGTATGTACTTTCAATCAATTTACAAATACATAATTTATTAATTATTAAAGATACATATATACATAATCTGAACCAAAGTTTACGATACGTATGTTATACCCTAGTCCACAATATAATTCGCGAATATATATATATAATTTCTATGATATCAGTCGGTATCAATAATACTAATTACGTTTAACACAATTAGTACTATATTGAGTATTATTAGAATCCATACGTGATAAACCCAAAGTGCCTAATCTTAATGGACTAAGTATTGTTAACCCTTTTTTCTTATGAGTTAAGAAAATTATAAAAAGAGAGAAACTTAACTTGATTTTAATTTCAGACTCCAACTTGCAAATATAAGATATGTTGCAAGTTTGCATTTGAGCCACAATCTAACTAATATATATATATATATATATATATATATATATATATATATATATATATATATATGAAACTTTTATAGTACGTGGTGATGATGAGTACCATTTCATTATCGTATTCAATACAATTATATATTATACTAGGTTTTATTAAAATTCATTCTAAAAGTATTCAGTGTAATCATGTATTATATCGGGTATCATTGTATCAATGAAAACCATTCCACTAATACTAGGTAGAATACACATAATTGTGTCAAATACTATTGATAATAATTACCAATAATAAGTTAATGCAATATATAATTGTATTGATTACGAATGAGATCGGTGTTGATTAACATACATGTTAGAATTTTCCTATGCGTATACTATTGATGTTTTGTTAATGTTTCTTTAGTTTACAAATTGCTGGATTTTTCTTTGGATCAAATTTTGAAAAATTATTGGATAAATACTAGTTGTGATTGTAAAAATATAAAAATATATTTTAATCTTTTATTTATTATCATAAAAAAGATTGTGAAGTTATACATCCTCTTATGATTCATATAGTAGATTTGGGCTTGAGTCTTATCATTTTCATCTTCTATATATATAGATTTTCTCAACAACAACCAAAAATAAAATAAAATAAAAAATCATCTTGCCCATGAAACACTTTGTTTGGTTAGGTTAAAAAGTATGAAGAAGAAATTATAACAACCTTGTCCTTTAATGTTATATAAAATAAATGTGATATGGTGATTTTTCATATATATAAAAGAAATGTCATTTGCAGCTTTTTGTGGGGATGAAGTAAGACAGTTGGCTTAAATAATTAACATATTAAGTTTTGAGCACCAACATGGGAGTTTATATTGTTTAAATGTTTAGGGACAACCACATATATAGTATTGCAATATTTTATATATTTAGTTGGAATTTGGAAATCACATGTTTTGGATTAGTAGCGTATAGTAATCACAATATTATAATTTAATTAATAATGTCTTCGCATTATATATGATGATTTAAAAGAGTAAATGCCAGATAAGGTCCTCCGAATTTGGTGGTTTCGCCATTTTTAGTCCTAAACTTTCAAATCGACCAAGCGTAGTCTTCCGAGTTTCGAATTCGACATGCAGTAGTCCTTCCATTAACATATGCCGCTTGCACCGTGAAAAGTAAGGATAAAATAGTCTTTTTATTTCAACCCCAACCAAAACAATTCATTTCCCTC